GAAGTAACTGCAGCTGGTTGCTATTTTTCGACTCAGTTGCCTGCTATCGTGGGCGAAAAAAAGAAAAGCAGATGAGAATTGATCAAAAGAACGCTGAAATGTTGAGATAAGTAAAAAAAAAGAGGAAAAAAGGTTACTCAAGGGGACACCCGGGTTTGAACCGGGGACCTCTCGATCTGCAGTCGAATGCTCTACCACTGAGCTATATCCCCAGATGGGCTTCGACCGGCCGAACAGCAAGTACAGCCGCACAGCGAGCACAGATTGCTATTAATAGTCATTCCCCCCCTTTTATGGCCTGGTGTGGTGGAGGCAGGAGTATGGCATGTGTGTGGGACTTGCGCAGTGCCCAAGTGGGGAGTGGGGAGTGGGGAGTGGAGTGGAGTGGACTTACTGAGAAATGGAAAATACACAGAGCCATTAAATGAAATACGAGTATTTAAACAGGTTTAGCAATAATTTCGTATTGTTATTTCTGCTGCAACAATTGGGCTTCGTTTAGCGAAATTGAGCAGCGAGATAAAGCCAAAACCGGTGTGGGCAAGAGCCCATGCCATGCCAGGCCAGGCCATGCCAGGCCAGGCCGTGCCGTGCCATGCCACCGATGCATACTTCCAGTATGTGCGGGAAATCTGTCTTTACTTCGAAAGCTTTATTATTGCGATAGACAGTATTAAGTAAATCTGTACGTCACGACTTTCGGCTTCGGCTTGGCTCAATCAAGCCTCATTTTCCACAAATTGTCAGCTGAAGATGCCAATCGCAGGCACATTAATTCGACAGTCGACACTCGACGATCCCAAGTGGTTGACAATCCACTGCAGTGGCCATTACGATGGCGATTGAGATCGAGATTGCGACAGGGGGGCTGTCATTACCATTGCCACATTGATGGATGCGATGAGGAGCTCGGGCAAATGACAGACAGGTGCCACCTTTGCAGCCGTCGAACCCATTTTGGCAAGGTCAAGTTGTGATCCCATTGTGGGCTGGTTGTGGGGGGGGGCCCACACATACATAACAGCTGTATGACGAACTGTTTTGTGGCTAAATGTAATTGATAATTTGATCTTACTTCAGCCAAAACCCGGAGACGCTTGCGACGCCCCACAACAGCGGCCAGCTCATCGCGCAGCAATTTGATCGAGTCCAAGAAATCGACCGAGGCTCCCGTGGCGGAGAAGCGCATCGATCAGATAACCGCCTCCACCACCACAAGCGTGCGTCGGACCCGCCTGCGCGCCAAGTCGAAGCTGGGCGGAGGAGCCGCCGCCGGAGCAGCAGCCGCAGCAGCTGGCGGAACGGCCTTGGTGGCCAGTGGATCCTCGCTGAAGGGCAAGAAGACCAAGGTGGACGATGGCACGCCAAAGATTGTCTGCTACTACACCAATTGGTCGCAGTACCGCGTGAAGATTGGCAAATTTGTCCCGGAGGACATTCCGGCCGATCTCTGCACCCACATCATTTTCGCCTTCGGCTGGCTGAAGAAGGGCAAGCTGAGCTCCTACGAGTCCAACGACGAGACCAAGGACAACGTCCCTGGACTGTACGACCGCATGATGGGCCTGCGCAAGGCCAACCCCAAGCTGAAGGTAAGTCGAGGACGCAGCTCCGAACAGATCGAAGACTATACATGTGGCTCTTCGCTTTCAGATCCTGCTTGCCCTGGGTGGATGGTCGTTTGGAACCCAGAAGTTCAAGGACATGTCTGCCACACGGTACACGCGCCAGACCTTTGTCTACTCGGCCATTCCCTTCCTGCGGAAGCGTGGCTTCGACGGCCTGGACATGGATTGGGAGTACCCCAAGGGCTCGGACGACAAGAAGAACTTCGTGCTGCTGCTGAAGGAGTTGCGTGAGGCCTTCGAAGCCGAGGCCCAGGAGCTTAAGAAGCCGCGTCTCCTGCTCTCCGCTGCCGTGCCCGTGGGCCCGGACAATGTGCGCGGCGGGTACGATGTGCCAGCCATCGCCAGCTACCTGGATTTCATCAACCTGATGGCCTACGACTTCCACGGCAAGTGGGAGAAGGAGACGGGCCACAATGCACCGCTGTATGCGCCCTCCTCCGACTCCGAGTGGCGCAAGCAGCTGTCCGTGGACAACGCTGCCAGTCTCTGGGTCAAGCTGGGTGCCCCCAAGGAGAAGCTGGTGATCGGCATGCCCACCTACGGGCGGTCTTTCACGCTGGCCAACACCGACAAACACGGCCCGAACGCCCCAGCCTCGGCCGGCGGTCGGGAGGGAGTCTACACGAAGGAGAGCGGCTTCCTGGCCTACTACGAGATCTGCGAGATGCTGCTGAACGGAGCCGTCTACGTCTGGGATGAGGAGATGAAGGTGCCCTACTTGGTCGACGGCGACCAGTGGGTGGGCTTCGACGACGAGCGCGCCATTAGGAACAAGATGCAGTGGATCAAGTCGAACGGCTTCGGTGGCGCCATGGTGTGGACCATCGACATGGATGACTTCAAGGGCGAGGTGTGCGGCGGCAATGTCAAGTACCCGTTGATCGGAGCCATGCGCGAGGAGCTGTTGGGCATATCTCGGGGCAAGGAGGCCAAGGACGTCAATTGGACAGCCATAGCCGCCACCTTCGAGGACATCGAAGAGGTAGGTCTCCAGCCCCCTTTACGATGGTTATCCATCAGCTAATCGATTCGGTGTTTGCAGAAACCCGAACCCATCAAAATCTCAGTGGACGAAGTACTTAAGAAGGTGCGCAAGCCCCAGGGCGCCAAGAAGCAGCGCATCAAGTCCGGCGCCAATGCCATCGAGCAGAACAGTGAGCCCCGAATAAAGAGCCCCACGAGTCGGTCCATTTGCTAACACTTTCTTTCCTTTGCCAGCACGTCCCGCCCAGGTCTTCTGCTATCTGACCAGCTGGTCCGCCAAACGCCCTGGAGCCGGAAAGTTCCAGCCCGAGAACATTGACCCCAAGCTCTGCACGCACATCGTCTACGCGTTCGCCACGCTGCAGGACTACAAGCTGACGGAGGCCACCGATGACGATCCGGAGAACTACGAGAGTGTGATCGGGCTGCGGGACGCCAATCCCGATCTGCAGATCCTGCTGGCCATCGGAGGCTGGGCCTTCGGCTCGACGCCCTTCAAGGAGCTGACCTCCAACGTGTTCCGCATGAACCAGTTCGTGTACGAGGCCATCGACTTCCTGCGCGACTACAAGTTCAACGGCCTGGACGTGGACTGGGAGTACCCGCGCGGGGCCGAGGACCGCGTGGCCTACTTGAACCTGCTGAAGGAGCTGCGCGTTGCCTTCGAGGGAGAGGCAAAGTCCTCGGGGCTGCCGCGTCTGCTCTTGACTGCTGCTGTGCCGGCCTCCTTCGAGGCCATCGCCGCCGGCTACGATGTTCCGGAGATCTCCAAGTACCTGGACTTCATAAATGTGATGACCTACGACTTCCACGGTCAGTGGGAGCGCACGGTCGGACACAACTCCCCGCTCTTCGCCCTGGAATCGGCTACCGGCTACCAGAAGAAGCTCACCGTCGACTACAGCGCCCGCGAGTGGGTGAAGCAGGGCGCTCCCAAGGAGAAGCTGCTGATCGGCATGCCCACCTACGGCCGCAGCTTCGAGCTGGTCAACGACACGCAGTTCGACATCGGATCTCCCTCGTCGGGCGGCGGCAAGGCTGGCAAGTTCACGAACGAGGCCGGGTTCCTCAGCTACTACGAGGTGTGCTCCTTCCTGGCGGCCGACAACACAACGCTCGTCTGGGACTCGGAGCAGCAGGTGCCCTTCGCCTACAGGGGCAACCAGTGGGTTGGCTTCGACGACGAGCGTTCCCTGAAGACGAAGGTGAGTTGGAGAGTCGAAGGGTATAACCTGAACAGTTTCCTACCATTCCATACCTTTCCCTCTTGCAGACCGAATGGCTGAAGGAGCAGGGCTTTGGTGGCATCATGGTCTGGTCCATTGACATGGACGACTTCTCCGGTCGCTGCGGCAGTGGCAAGTACCCCCTGTTGAACGCCCTCAACGACGAGCTGAAGGACTACAAGGTTGCGCTGGAGTACGATGGACCCTATGAGTCCCATGGCCCGCGCGGAGCATACACAACGAAAGATCGTAGGTCCCCCCTATCCTCCTACCCGTAGGTCCATTGAACTTTGAGTGATTCTAAGCCATTCCCTTTCCGGCCACAGCTCATGACGTCACCTGCGCCGAGGAGGATGGCCACATCAGCTACCACAAGGACTGGGCTGACTGCACACACTACTACATGTGCGAGGGCGAGCGCAAGCACCATATGCCATGTCCTGCCAACTTGGTGTTCAATCCCAACGAGAACGTCTGCGATTGGCCCGAGAACGTCGAGGGTTGCCACTCGCCCACGGAGGCACCAGCCTAGGCGCCCACCCAGGGACGGATGCCTGGCCCCCGAGTGTCCCACTCGATTTGTTAATATTATGAAACGGATGCCCATGCCCTAGAACTAGTAATAATGCGAAACTGCCACGAAACCACATCTTTTGCTGCCCAAGCCCCCCACAGTACACTCCACTAACAAAATACTCGAAAACTTGCTACATTTCGGCTGAATTTTTTTTTACATTACGCTTAAGTTTAGATAGCACCCTAAGTAGTTTTTATGTCTTAGTTACAAGGTGTGCACACTGCGTTGCTGAACGATCAGAAATCATTACTACTGGAAACCCACTCGCCCTTCGCCCTTGGCCCTTCGACCAAGCCACCTTCCTCCCGACCCGCCCGCTACCACTTCGATTCGAGGTAACAAAATGGTTCATATGGAAGCCTCCCGAAACTTCTGTGTATCATACTGTGATAATCATAAGAAACACCAGCCAGACCGACCCAGGCAGTCGCCAGTCGAAATTTTGTCTAAATCAAAACCAAACAAACAACAGTTTCCGCTAAAATTCACCGAGCTTTTGCCCCTCCGCCGAGCGAGCGTCCCTTTGCCCCTCCTCCGATGATGACGACAACAACAACAGAACAGGCGCACAAAGAAAATTGTAAATTTTCACGTTTTATCAATACAATTTGTATTATAGAGTTGTAATTACGTAGTTTAAATACATTTTTTTTTAATAATACATTTGTATTACTTGACCAAAAGCTGGGGGTGGAGCGATGATTTCTCCAAGGCTTTCAGTTTCAGGAATAGTCAGGGCGATACATCTCTCCTCCTAATAACATTTATCATTTATGGCCCCAAGTCTTGCGACAGGGCACTACAAAAAATTAATTTAGACTCATTAGAGTGCCCCTCTCCACGGAAATCTTTAGTAAAAGGCGAAAGATTTATTCGACAACTGAAGAGAAGCCAGAGTACCGGTACACAGCAAACTTGAGCCATACCATACAGCCCGTGCTAGAACCAGTTGGGAATTATAAGCACATACAGCCAGTTTCGCCACCAGCTCGAAATACGGAACGACGCTCATGCTCATGCAAGATCGTGCATGCTCCGTGGTATATTTTGGTATCAGGCAAGACAGGGGACGGATCGGTTATGGATTATGGTTGTATATTGCATATGTACATAGAGTACACATGCATGCCGTTCCTCTCATTGCCTCGATGATGGTAAATGCACAGCATCTAGTCGTTCTTACGCTTACTCCTCTCAGTCACTGGATTCTTATTCGCCCCTTGGACTTGGGGTTCCGTCTGCACTGGATCGGAGGCCTCAGCCTGGTCTGTCCTGTCGCCGAGCGGGCACTCACAATATGCCTGTTGGCCACCTTGGCAGATGGCAACCGGCGCTGGCAGACCTGTGCAGAAGGGACAGCTGCGGGAAGAAAAGCTATCAGTCATTCTGCTGGGCATACGAACTGCCTTGAGGACTCACCCACCCACGACTCCACCTGCTGCATCGTCAACTGGAGCGGAATAGATTCTGAGGTACAAGCACATCAGACGATGGCACACAACGAGTGTCGGTAGAAGGAGCAGGGCGCAGATAATTGTGGCCAACCAAAAGGCATTCTACAAGGGAATGGGGTAGGTCAGAATTAGAACGATATTGTGGGACATTCAGGGGGAATCTGTACTGACGATGGGATCCACTAGACGGGCACAGACGGAGTGAACGCCTTGATAGTAAATGTAGGCGAGGGGCTGGCAACGTCCGACGTTCGTCATGCTCTCCCAGATCACCCTTTCAACATAGTCTTTGATGCGTTCGTTGATTACCGCGGTAAGGTTTTTCGCCAGGACATTGATGAAATTCGTGCCTAAAATTTGGATAAACTTCTCGGACCTTTCCACCGCATCGAGCAGTGTCCTTATGGTCTGCAGTGCCCTTAGGGAGGCTGGTTAGGCTGTGCCGATGAGGAGGACGATGGCCTACATAGTTACCGTCTTTCAGCTGGGACCCCAAGAAGCGCATCTCCTTCTCCAGGACATCCACTTGCTTCATCAGCTGGTAGGCCTTCGGCATGTTGTCCAAGATGCGCTCCTGTTCCGCCAGCGAATTGCCCTCGGAAACATCCATCAGGTCCAGAAAGATGTGATTGGGCACATCTACCAAATGGAAGGTGGCAGGGAGATGGGCGGTTGGCATTTCCTTGCCATTTGCACTCACCATTTATATGCACGTCGAGGTACGACTCCAGTTCCTGGTAGTTGTACACCATCAAATGGTGAATGTGGTTCAGCCACATTCTTCAGAAAAGCACAAGTGTCATCAGTACTGCGTTGCAAGGTCTGCTTGATGTCCCTGAGTCCCCGGTCCACGAACCTATTCGCCACAAACGCTATGGCAAGGCCAAAGCTATAATATGGACTTATTATTCTGCCTGCCATTGGGGCTGCCACCAACCGGACTCACATCAGGCCGAGGATCATCAGGAAGAGGCCCTGTTTGCACCTCAGACAGCAGCAGAGGCAGCAGTAGCATATACTGCAGGATGAGATGTCGTGGCATGAGAACTGGTCGTTTGAGGCACCTCCCTCCACCTACCCAACGAAGGGTATGACAACGATCCACGCCAAGAGGAACAAAACGAAGAGTAACAGAAGCCAGTAGCGATCCAACAGTGCAGCCCAATCGTTCTGCATCACCTTGGGGCCGAGCACCAGTTTTTCATCGGACGGATCCGCTTGAATACATCTCTCAAGGGCGACGAATTCGAGCTCTGAAGGACCCAATGGAGAATGACTCCTCACAGCACCTGGAGTGTATGTATATGTGTGTGTAGCCTGTTGAGTGTCGAGCGGCAGGTTTTAACTTGTTTACAATGTATGCAATATGACATTTCAAAATAACAGTTAAGTCCAAACCTGGCTTGATTACCAGCCCGGTACTCCTGATCAGCGATATGAGCACCCACTCTTACCCTCACACATGGTGGGTATAAAATTAATGTTTTATCGATCTTAATCTACTACCCGGAATGAGGAAAACAAGTTCCCAGGCGTGGATGAGCCCCCTCCCAGAGCGGCCTAGCAGCGTTCGTTTAGCATACTCAAAAGAACTCATGACCTCTCTTTTTGTTTCACTTCACAGCTTGCTCTTTCATTCTCATGCATTCTAAATACACGAATATGTGTGTACATATCTAATAGATATAGAAACTGAGTACTGAGGGTTATTTCAATGTCGAGGCACCAGTGCTTTCTGTAATACTCCAAATTAACATTTTAAATTGGAGCCCTCTGGTTCCACCAGAACCATGCCGAGCCAGGTACAGCAGCGGCCGGAACAGTGTGCTAAGCTATATAGAGAAATATATACATATGTGTCCCAGTCGGGCCCAGCGGAAAGTTAAGTTATAACCTGTATCATAATCTGAGAATCACCAAAATCATGGTAAGGTCTTAACATACTACGGTACTCATAGATATACTACGGTAATACCACTAAAGCAGACCCTTGAATACACATGTCTCGATCTACTCGATGATGTTCTTATACTTATATGCTATTTACTGAACTATCCGGATATGCATAGATGTACAATATGTATTTACGATACGATCGTCCTCAGGTGGAGATCTTTAAACCTTTAAAGATGGAACCAATCCCATCGTAATATTCGATCGGACGTTATGCGTTAGTCAAAGTAATCTATTGATTTAAAATTTTTATTGTTTTTTTTATTGGTTTTCTCAAAAAGTTTTTATACATTTTGTTTTATTTTACTCGTTTTTGTTTCAATTAAATAATTAGTCTTACGTTGATGTACACAGTAATTGAATAAAAAAAAAGTACGCGGTAATTCGGACAAAAACTAAACGGAGAGTAGGGAAAGTACAAATTACTTAGGAAAGGTAGAGAAAAAAAAATCAAGAAAAATAATTGTAAAATTTGTTTGTTTTAATCACAAATCATCTGAATAACTCGAATTTGGCCAACAACAAGTACAAAATTAGTATAAATCACACATATGTAGCTGGTAAAGAAACCACAGCATCTACAGAATATTTTGTTGTTGTATAACACTTAGGATAGGATTCTTTGCCAAAAATGGGAAACGTTTGCTTAGAGGAATTATGAGTGGACTCTGTAAAATTGGATCCTTAAGATTTGTTGCTTTGCTTGGTATTTGTTTTTGTTTTCGTTTTCGTTTTGGTTTTTGTTTTTCTTTTCGGTTTTTTGTACAACAAAATAATGATATCGTGTTTGAAGTTAGCAAGAGTCTCCAAATCAAATAGCACTTAATATGTATTACAAATTCCTTGCCTTCTCCATTGAATACGTTTCTTTTTCTTTCTTTTCTTTTCTTTTCTTTTCTTTTTATTTCTTTTAATTTCTTTTGTTGTTTGGTTTTGTTTTGTTTTGTTTTGTTTTGTTTGCTGGTGGTGCGAAGTAGTTGAAGCCTTTTAATATTTCTCCTTCTCTATTCTTTCTTTCTCTATTTCTGATACGAATCACGGATGTTTTCGGATTACAGTTTTCGGAGTGTGATATGCGTCCGCGCTGGCTCAACGCGACTTCTGGGGACTTCTGCCTGCGAGTGGGTGTGGACGAGAAAGGTGTGGAGTGGTTGAGTTTTAGAGCTAGATACAGACTTTCGTTAGTAAAAATATTGTACTCGGAATTTCAGCGCGTGCATTACAATATACATTTGCATCAGATCATAAACAAATTATTCGAACGCAGATACAGATGATCGAAGACTCGCTCAAAATGGATGTATGTACATATCACGCTATGGCCTAGACAGTTTCAGTTTCAGTTTCAGTTACGGTCTCGTTTACGGTTACGGTTACGGTTACGGTTACGGTTACGGTTTCACTGTCAGTACCAGTTTCAGTATCAGATTTTGAGTATCGATTTTGTTTTCTTGTTTTGTTGTTTTCTTGTTTTGAGCTACTTTCTAAAGTCGCGCTGTGCGTCGCTTTGCATGTTCCTTGAACCAACATTTACATTTTTGTTTTTCTTTCTTTACAATTACATACATACTCGTAGTTTTTTTTACGCATTTTGCATTTCGTTTGGTTTTTTTGTAAACTTTTTAAACTGCCTTTAGAAAATTTGTTTTTTACTTTTCTTTGTTTTTGCTTTTTTTCGTTTTTTTTTGTTAAAAATATTTCACTATAAAAAATACATAGTTGACAAAAAAAAAAAACGTTTTCTCGGTTGTTGATCTTGTCTTCCATTTCCTGTTCCGTTCCTCGCCTTCCGTTTCCGCTCAAGCTTTATTTTCCATTTCATAATCTTTTTCGGGTTTCTTTTTTTTTTTTTGGTAGCTGGGGGTGCGGTAGACGGCGGCTGTTGTTAGACATGCTTTATAAACATTTGATGTGGTTCCTTGTCCTTCTTTTCATTCTGCTTTAAAGTGGTTCTCTTTTTTTGTTGTTGCTCAACGCTTTTTGCTGCCTTGCCGCGCAATGTTTTTGTGTTTCTTTCTTTTGTTATTACAGTTATTTATTGTTGCAAAATTTTACAATTTTTTTTCTTAAGACCCTTTTTTAATACACACTTATAAATACTTTCATCCATTCCTATCTCTCTCTTCTCTCCCTCCCTCTCTCTTTCTTAGCTCTGTAAAAATAGATCCATGTTGTTTCAGCTCCTTCGCAAGTTTTCTCTTCTTTTTCTTTTTAAATTTTTTGTTTTTTCCCTTTTTTTTCTCTTTAAAGAATTTTTCGTTTTTTTGTTTGTTTTTGTTTTTGCTTTTAAGTTTAGTGTTTTTTTTTTTTGTTTTGTTTTGTTTGTATCGTTTACCTTTTTTTGTATTTTGAAGTTTTTGTCGTGTATTTTTTTGTTTTCATTGTTTGTTGTTTTTTTTTTTGGAGAGATTTCGTTTTCAAAAATTTGCTTTTTTGTGGATGTAATGTGGTTTATGCTCTTCTCGTGATATCTACCGATTTGTAATTTAAATTATTGTTTTCTTTGTTTTGTTTGTAGTGGATTCTGTTTTTTAAATGCCTAAAATGTAGAGTTGAGAGCTCAACATAACATGGGGATACCATCAGCTTTCCTTCCTTCCGTTTTGGCTTAGCAATATAAACGTTCGTATTTGAATGGTTTTAGTGTTTAGCGTTTTGGGGGTTCTGTTTTGATCGGCACGCGCCAAAATGTCTTAGTCATAATTCATGTTTCGCTTATGTTTAATCCTTTTAATCGTAGTCGCTTTAGGGGAGGAGGATCGGTTCGCGTTTGGATATTGGGTATGGGGTATTGGGTGTTGTTGGGGAGAGCTGCGCGTGTTTTCAGTTTCGTTTTGAGGTGTTGAGGCTCATCAATTGGCCGCACTAGACATCAGTTCGGAGAAGGCGTTCTCCAGACAATTCTTGAGTTCAGCGTAGGAAACAATAAGGACAGACTGCTCGTCGCGCGACATCAGTTGCACCTAAGAATAAGAATCGATATTGGATTACTCTTGTTCTCTCCATCCCTTCCTCTCTTTGACTTTTGTTGCTTACCCGCTCGATGGAGCCAGCATCCAACTTATTGAGCGATTGTACAATGTGTGCGTGATCCATCCAAGGGCGGCCATCCTCGGTGACGGAATGAAACAAATAATCACGAAATAATTTCAACATGTATCTATCGCCAGTCTCCGACCAAGTGCAGTCCAAATTGAAGCTAAATTCAAAGGAAAAAAAGGTAAATATGTTGTAGACGGGTGCTCTGGGGTTCTGTGGCTGGGGACTTACTCTGGCCGTTCGTTGATGCTGTTTAGTTTCACCAAAATGCGGTACAGGCGGCCGTTCTCCATCTCCTTGGCCAACTCATCCTCCTGCATATCGATTTGGCTCTGCAGCGCGTCCAATTGAGTATAGAAACGGGCGCCAATCATCGGCATCAGATCGGTGACAGATCGGCGGTTATTCGTGGTAAAGAGGTAACTGCAACGCACCAAAATCAGACGCAGGAATTATTAAGAATGGTGGCAATTGGAGAACAAACGTCTCTTGGCTGGATGGGCTTACACAATGAAATTACGAAGATCGGTGGAGTAGTTGCGCGTGACCATGTCAATGCTCGACTGGACGTTGTCCCGCTGCACAGACTGGAGACAGCGACAGGCCAGCGCCAGTACCAAACGACCCAACGCGGTCAGATCGTCCTGTGGAAATGCCAAAGTTTATAAATTCAACTCTTTCTTACATCTTTCCGGGCTTCTATTTTACCTGCTGGTGCATGTTAACGAGTGCCAGGGGATTGGCCGCATTGGGATCGAACTGCGTAATGTCCGAGATGCAACAGGAGCTGAAACGCACTCGTTTGCCCGTCACAATGATCTTCGTGGGATCCAGTACCCTGTACCCAAAGGAAAGGAAAAGTTTAATGTATCTCTGTCTATCGATCTACCAGCTTCTATCTGACTTACTTGCAGGCAAGCCCCGCCTGGTGTATGGCCCTCAGGCCGGCGGTCAGCTGCATGATGATCGACCAGATGGTGGCCTCCGGCAGCAATGGCCCGTTGCTGGTGCGCTGCATGTTACTCTTATGACTGCAATGGTAAAAATATGTTCAACTCATCTGCATTGATCCGTTTGGTTCTGGTTTACCCACCTGAATGGGCGAGCTTCGCCTTGGAATGGATCAGTGTAACCGTTGGTGTCTGGCGCGGGCGTAAAGTATTTGGCCAGCAATGTCTGTGAGCCGGGATAGTAGTCGTACACTAATACTAAGGCTGCGGGAGGTACAGGAGAAAGAATATTAGCATCGGTAAGGGCATGGGCAGGGGCTGTAGCCTGGTTCCACTCAAAGCTGTACAAGTACCCCATAAGCGAAAGGCAAACACTCGTTTAAGAAGAGCAGTCACGAGCGGCAAAGGAAGGTGCACATAGGCCTTGTCCGTTGCTCTCTCTGGTCCCTCCCTTTTCACTTGGTAAGAATAAACATATAACATCTAATCCAGCACTCAGTATGCTTGGTATTAAGGCGCCTAAGACCCGGTAGACTCTCCCCCATAGAATGCCAAGCGACTTACAACCATGAAACTTCTCATTCAGATCCGAGAGCCACCCGAAACAAACCCTTTTCTCTTAAACCTGAGGACCAAACCCCGCACTCACAGTTATCACCAAATGCTTTTGTCGTGAACACCTCGCGCAGTTGTACCACATTCGTGTGCTGCAGTTTCTTCCACATCTCCACCAGCGTCATGCATTTGGTTGACTGCAAGCGGAACCCTGCGGCGAGAGAGAGGATACAATTAGCTCTTGGCAGAGAGAGGCGAGAGCAGGACGTACCGTGCAATCTCCGCAGGCAGTACTTGTATCCGGTCGTGTTGTGCGTGGCCCGGTACGTGCTGGCGGGGAGCGTGAGCTTGGCGTGCAGCGGCTGGGCCGGCGGCTCCAGAGGATAGAGCGCGTGGTAGTTGTCCACTTCGTGTGGTAGGGCGTGCTGAGCAGCCTCCGCTGCGTCCATAATCAGATTGGAGATCTCGTTGCGGGCAAGAATGTCGGCCCGCATTTCGTCGGGTATGAAGAATGCGGACTCCAGGTGCGTCTTCGGCTGCATGGTGATCACATTCGAGGCCGGACCCGGATAGACATGCCCCGTGTACATGAGCGCCGAGGGCACGCCGCCGACACTGCTCATCGTTGGCACAGAGCTGACCCCATGATGAGCCGGATGGGTGGCATCCACCACCACGGAATTCACGACTGGCTGGTTGCCCTGCGCATTGGCAGTCGGATAGAAGTAGATGGTGCCGCCGACATTCTCCTGCAGGGGCGAGGGAAGCAGAAGAGGGATTACTATCAGAGCTATGGGCCGTCCATGGGGCAGCGCTTACCTGATGCACGCTCGCTGGCAGCGTCGTGGGGATGGGCGAGGCGCCGTGCGGTGTCATGCCATGCGGTGGAGACTTCTCACCCGGCCCGCCCGCCAGCATTGCCGCTGTGGGCGACTCCTGTCGGAGCATTGGGCCACGACCCTTGAGTGGTGTTTGCGCGGACATGCTGCTCACAAAGGGGGCGGCGCTAGGATTCGGTGGTGCGCCGCTAATTGCTATGGGGGCCGATGGGACAGACCCCGAGGTGGAGTGCACCAGCGGCGACTGCTGCTGTTTCTGTTGTTGCTGCTGCTGCTGCTGCTGTTGTGCAATGGTGACAATGGAGGGGGCGGACTTCTGCAGGGAGAGCATCGAGCTGCTGCCGTTCGCCGACTTGCTGATGGGCACGGTGGCTGCGGCGGATGCGGCGGCCACTGCTGCCGCTGTGGAGGCGGGTGCCACGGCTGCTGCTGCTGCGCCGGAGCCGGCTAGCCCATTGACGCCGTTGAGCCCATTACTGAGTTGCATCGGCGTGTTGTGATATGGTGCGTAGAAATTGGGGGACGAATTGATGCGCGTTGGAATGAATTCTGGCGACTGCGGCGTGACCTGTAGAAATCGAAAGTCGAATTAGTCGATGTCAATAATAGTTTCACACTGCTCCATGTGGACTCTGACACTGGTCTAAGTATGCCGTTCTAATGACAGACAGACACTGGGAAAACTAAATGGGGTTCTACTGTACGGACAGAGGACTTGGGGGCTTCTACTTCTAGTCGATGCTAGAGAATACCAACCCGTTACGGCAACACACGGTTTACGCTTTACGTTTTACGACACTCACATCCGACTCCTCCTCGTATCCTCCTCCATGGACAGATAGGATACGGGATAAAGAGGGAGCGGTAGAGACACAGATCGGATCTCTGCTTTACCTGGGACTTTTTGTTCACTGCTGCCAGGGGCGCATCCAGATTGAGTAGCGAGAATCCGCTATTCAGCCCAAAGCCACCGCTGCTCGGTGTGGCAACATTCTGTCGATTCTGAGATATCGGGCAGGGCAGAGAGCAGGGCAGTGCAGAGAGCATGCGGGGAGAGACGGAGAACGAGAGAGAGAGAGATAAAGAGAGAGAGGAAGATTCAGATCAGAGAGCGGCATTATGGTGGCACGGCGGAAAGGAAAATTGTGCAAAGGAAGATTATTGGTAGGCGCTTATTGGCGCTTTGTTCCCAACTATCTGTCTTCTACTTCGACTTCCATTGAGAACGGTCGAGGCTCTGTCTGGGCGGACGGTGGGCACGTCCTTGCTACCAACTGTTTCCATTGCTCCTAGACTTATTCCTAGGGAACTAAGTGCCCAAATAAGCAAAATTAAAATACACGCCGTATCTCACGACCGAGAATGCAAAAACAAAATACACGCCAAAGTATTGGTGGTTTCTGATGACTGTTGGACTGCTCCCGCTATTCTATACATATTTAATCGCTATTTGGCACACAATTTGGCTGTAAAATAAAAGGCATTATCTCGCTCATCTCTCGCGCATCGGATAATATGCCATGATCGGATGATGACGGTGTACAGCAGCCAAAGTATCTGGAATTACTTTTATCGTTATTTACATTTCACAACCCCAAAGCAAGAACACAAAAGTCAGTTAATTCCATGAAAATTATGCGGCGCTTCGCTGAATGTTCCACATGGAATAATTTATGGTGTACAATAAAAAGCCATGCACCAACTAAAATTGATATTTAACGTGCGTATGGGAAACTTGTGTCAAACTTGTGTCAAAAGAAAAATCACAAATATATTGAGAAATCAAATCCAAAAGGCGGTCAAGAGCATATACGAATGGAAATCGAATTAGAATCAAGACCAATTAAACAGCTGCAGAGCTATGCCCAGAGCTGGCTATTTCCTCTGAAACGGGCCCCTTAACTTACCATATAAGTAGCGAGTTTACTCTCTGACGGAATACCATTCGTGGGCGAGTAGAAAATTGGATCCATAGCAGCCGTATCTGTAAAGAGCGAGAGAGAGAGAGAGAGATAGAGAGCATGAATGAGAGACCAATAGGTACATAGGTACATATGTATTGTATGTATATAGAGAGAGGGCCACACATATGATAATTGATTAGAAATCAATTAAACAAACATCAACAGTATTCCATTTGCAGTCCATATCTCCGCTCCACCACCACTACTCCACGCTTTCCTGTTATTTTCCAATACATTCCCCATTTTCGGACTATGCGCAATTTATTGTCACTGACGAAGAGGCACAAAAACATCAACATCAGCAGCAACAGCACTGCTTCTTCTTCTTGTTCTTCTGCTTGCGTCAAAATAAACTAAAGCCAAGACGCAATTTCTGTCAGAAGCAGGCACCACCACTACCACCACTACCACCACCACCACCACCACCACCACCACCACACACGTTTCATACATTCCGTGGATTTCAGATAGAACTTCCCGATATCCAGGAGGTGCGCTTCGGAACGAAGGTTGCACCGTGCACCTTATACTCACTGACAACATTCATGATGGATGGTTGCCCTACAGTTTTACAGCCCGTTTGAGTGCACATTTTGAGACGCTCTGCTCAAAGCAATAAATATTTCATTTTTGGTAGTAAACTTTAAAGTTATGAATTATTACTGTCTACTGCCTACTGCCTACTGCCTTCGAATAAGTTTGTTTTTCGTTGTGAGAATTTAGTACAAAATAAAGCCACCGTATGAATGAATTAATTCATTAAAAATGTAAATAAAACGTAACAAGAACTAAGAGATACCCTTTTTTCGATGCTGTTGTCTATCAAATTTGTTCTGAGCGGAAGAAACGATCGAAAACAGATGATCTAAAGGCCCTTATGAGTTCTGATTTGTAAAATTCTAGTCCCATAGAAGCACGTGGGAGAACTCATTTGAAATGCACTTAAACGTTCGAGTGTGCTGTAACAGAAAGTGAAATTTACTTTCAAAGGCAAAACATTTCTTTCTTTTTTTTTTGCACGGTGCCAGGTAGAACGAGAGGCTTCCAATGTCGATGTCGGGGGTACGGGGCCAATGTGGCCATGGTTGAAATAACAAGTGATATTAGCCTTGAATTTCGTATAAAAATACCAAAGCTTTCTGAGATTATTCCGAGCAGGCTACTATATTCTCTTTGGCCAAGAGCCACACCAATCTATTTTCCCCGGGGCGGGGGCGGTGGCCAAATTTTAATCCTTTTAAAGGTCGTTTAAAAATTACCATCCAAATAGAGGGCTTATCCCTAACGAGAGTTATGTTAGGGAAAGAAAACTCTTACCAACGCCTGATTTACAGGGTGTCCAGAGTTCGATTATGTTTACAAACAAAAATTAAATGAAATATGTTATGATGCTTTCTGGTCGTAAATGCAATAATTTGTAGCCCGAGTTTGTTCATTCGATTTCTAATTTGAAAAACAAAAATGTTCCAATTGAATGCTCATTAATTTGGTTTTTGCAGTATTTGGAGTGCCCCTCAGACCCGTTCTGGCAGTTTGAGAGCCACAATCAGGTGTTGTCTACAGTTTTGCACTTACTTGAGCATGTCCAGTTAGTGCATTCGAAATCGGTTAGAACGAAAAACTGTTGCCTGGCAGTGGGCAATCGCTCTCCAACTGTATTTCGGTTGCTGTTGTTTTTGTTGTTGTTGTTGTTCCTGTTGCTGGTTTTCTTTTTTTTTCACTTTACATTTACATAAATTGCCAGCCACTGGCTGTTTGTTGGCATGACGTCGGCAAAAAAAACTACATATACATGCACGTATATTTATATACTTTTCTGTTTGTTTGTCTGTACATGTATGTGTATGTGTGCGTATATATAGACAACTGATTATTATTTTTGCTTCTGCTGCGTTTCACGGCAAAACGGAGACAGCTTTTGTTTTGCTTCAAAGATCACGAACGCGTTCATGAAAACGCCACAACACACTCACACACACACACGAAAAACAAAAAAAAATGCCCTGCACACACTAGCACGTACACACTCTCTCTCTCTCGCTCTCTCTTACGTAGCAATGCTGGCACTGAGAGCCAGGTAAACCAAACAATAACAAAAAGCCCGCTGTTACGTCACGTAAAATGCGTTGATGTGGCAGCACGGGCAACACGTCGTTTACCGTTATGTGTCACTTGGCGGCACGCGGCCTCAGGAGGCGGTAAAAGCGTATTGAATATGAAACTGAATATGAAAAAAAAATTTCAAACGATCGCTGGCGAACCGACCGGCACCACAGCCCACATTCAAGTGTGGAGGCAGAGTGGGAAAACGCAGCAGCAACAACTGGCCCAAGACAGAGCGAGAGAGACAGAGAGAGAGAGAGAGAGAGAGAGCCCAGAAGTGTGAGCGCGAGAGCGAGCGTCAGAGAATTGGGAGAGAGACAGTCGCACAGTGAGTTCCAAACTGTGTGACGATGGATAGACGAGAGCAGCAGGCAAAAGGCAAAGTGGGCGTGCACTCGTTTCGATTAACTGTAAATATGTGGCCATCGTTCTTGTTGCTGTTGCTGCTGTTGCTGCTGCCGCTGCAGTAACTTGGAAAGTTCAAACTCTGAATGCACACGCGCAGCAACAACAACAAAAAGCACATCCCAAGACAGAATTTCAAGTGTTTCGGCTATGGGATATCCCTTATGTGGAAGTCGAATAATGTGGAGCAGTATCAGAGGAACACCAAAACTGCATATACCCTACTGCGACGCGTGCGAGTACTGGGTATAGGAGTCTCCCCATATGTTTTGTTTGTTTATTCTTGGGGCGGCAATAAAGCGAAACGCTTACAGTTTCACAAGCACTCGTCTCGATTCCAATGACCCCTTTGGAGGGGACGACTGCATTCTGATCGTATTCACGATCATGTGTTTGCCCATTGCCGAGCCGACGTACACCCCCTCCCACCCCCCTCCCCTGTCTCTTTGAGAAACTCAAGCAAATCGAGTATTTTGCGGATTTTAAATATGCTATGGAATGGGAGTGTTGAGTGGGGAGTGAAGTGTGGGGCGTGCGGAGGGGAATTGTGTGATCATCTGATAACTTCGAATGTAAATGGGAATGAGAGTAAGAGAGAGAGAGAGAGCGAGAGCGAGATAGCACGCACACACGTGGCTCTCAGTGTAATAATAATTTACAGACACACACACACACACACAAAGGCACACCAATCTGTAAGTACATTTTAAATGAAATATTTATAGCCAAGGCTTTTGCTTCATTATCAGCGCCCCAACAATCAAATGGTATCACTCCAGGCCTATCTTTCTATATGTACACACACACAATCTATGTACAATGTACACACACATATGTATGTATGTATGTTCGTGGCTGTGGACTCTTCAAACAAAAGGCCACCCCGAATGGATCAAATCCTGATTTCTTAAAACCGATCAGAGGTGGTAGATGGGAACCATATTTCAGGAAAATCAAGGCACCAAATGCTAAAAATTCGTAAGGGATTCGTAATTTGGATTGGTAATCACCGTATCACCTCTGTTCAGAAGCAGAAGAGGATGAGCATTACAAATCGAGGGAATAATCATTTGGCTTCTGTTCTTAGCCGAATCTCGAAAACTGGTCACACTCCTCCTCCCACTACTCTGCCGCTCGTTGATTGCTCGTCAATCTTTTTGGTGTGTGTGTGTGTGTGTGTGGTTTTTTTTGTAATTCTGATCGCAATCTCCGTTGGTTGCTGTTGAACAGAGACACGGCCATGTGAGTCGAGATTTGAGCATTGGCCAAGACAAGTTTGTCTGGTCTCTGACTCGGCCGGCCAGCCAGCGGCGCGGTGGCAATGGTAACGGCAACGGCAACACAGCGGCAGAGACAGCAACAGTGTGACCCAATTCACTGGGGACGCTCAGCAACAGCTGCTCGAAATCATAGACGTAGCTGCCAAACAGCTGTGCAAACGAGTGGGGGTCGGCCGGAGTCGGCCGGAGGGGTGTGTGCACTTCGAGAGCCTAGGCTCAACAATTGCGAAAGCGAAAACGAAAACGTTGAAAAAATGTAAATGGTGTGGTAAATATGAACAAATGAAATTAAGCCTATTCGCTGTTTTCCATTATTTATTCGGCTATTCGTATGCGAAAGATTTGTATTTCGATTTCGACAGCTTTACAGTTTTACTTTTTTTTTTACCCAGAGCTGGGCCAAAGGGGGGCGGGGGAGTGACAGCACAGTAGCGGAAGTTGTAAATGTGTAGCGGGCCGCAAAATGATATGCAGAAAGAGAAGGAGATATCCCTCCGCCCCCTCCCCCATCGCAACATCTTTGTCATTTGTTCTTCTTTGTCTTTGTCTTTTCTGCTTCATCTCTTTCGTCTCTGTCTCTGGGCGGAGAAAAGACGAAGAGAGCAAAGCTCAGTTTCAGTTTGTAACCCTCCCCCCCCCCCCCCCCCCCCCCTCGCACGATCTTATCTGATTGACAGCTGCCTTTTTGGGGGCGGGGTGGGTGAGGGGCTAACAGATGTCACGTATAACACTCCGAATCACAACATTCGATCGGTCCTCTGCGCTCATTCTCTCTCTCGTTCCACTGTCCCAGCACGTTTACCGTTGCACGCACTCCCCCCCATACGACGACGACACTCTCAGAGAGTCGACTTTGGCGATTACCTTGCGGCCCGTGTGGGGTAACTTTCGTGGCCTCTGCCAAAGAGTGACTAACAGAGGCAGAGGCAGAGGCAGCGGCAGCAGCAAACGGAGAGGCAAAGCAGAAACGACAAAAATAAAAGCAAACACCTCAACACCAAAAGGCACAAAAAGCAGAAAGAAAAAACAACACGAAGCAAAGTGCAAAAGCAAACAACGAGCAATAATACAAAACCAACACGAAAAAGCAGCCCACGAAGACAAAAAATAAAAATAAATAAAAAGCCAAAGCCAAAGCGAAGCGAAAGCAAAACACAGCAAAAGCGATAAATACAGTTGTGGAGCCACTGGGCGTGCTACTCAAACTGTTGATTTTTGAAAAGATCCACCCAATGGCCATACTACATTCAGAAATGTGTATTCTAAGCCGTGTAATTATGGAAAAAATTAAATAAAATACATATACAATAGATTACAGTCGATACACTTCCCAAAATACTTCCCAAAATATCTTTAATCCGTATTCACCAGTCCAAAGCCATTCTCAGGACTACCATTTTCATTTCCCTGTAAATATATAACTATTGTATCCCTGGACTATCCCGAACGACATTTCCCCAGGGAAACCCGTTGAGTGGCCCAGCATGGAGTGGCCCTAATGGCGGCATTCTGTTCCATCTCCTGTAGGCTGTGGGCTGTGGGCTGGCGGCACGCGTCCGGGCCACGCACTTGGCCAAATTGCTTTATGGCCACTAGACCCAGAGGCATGTTTGGGAGTCGCAAATGGGGGGCAGAAATGAGTAATGTACTGCGTGTGTGCAAAGCATTTCCACCCAAGGGCGCAATGAGATTTTGGCAAGCGAAAGAGAACGCGAACGCGAAATTAAACGGCCATAGAGACGGAGCACACATGCATTGACAAAGTGTCATTATTAGCCACTTGCCAAGGCAAAGAGGAAGAGCCACAGAAGGAAGGCAACAAACAGACGAATTCGAAGCCGAAGAGGAAGGCAAGGCAGTGCCAAAATATGTAAGGCTCGTGCCACAAAAGAATGTGTTGCATACTTAGTTGCGTCGTGTGTTGGAATTCCACGAGAAGCAGACAGGGAGGAACAAAGAGGAGGAGCGGGGAGAAGAGGGGAGAAGGCCAGGCCGAGCCAAAACAAAAGTGACAAACGTCGCACATTAGCGACGTCAACTTGTCTGCGCCTGCAATGGTGTGGCGCCTCGCCTCGCCTCGCACGATAATTAAATTATGGGGAAGCACAAAACGAAACGGAATGAGCGGAAGCGGGAGCGGGAGAGGGACAGCATACGGATACGGCACGAAAAATGGGTGAAAAAACTCACAGGATCAGATCATCAGAGAGTGAGCGAGATGCGATCGCGTATCAACGAAGGTGAGATGTGGAATGGCGGTGGTGGGAGAAGTGCTAGCTGAACACCCAGAGTTGGCTATCTAGCTACTTTCAAGATAGCTCTGAAGAATGTTCCCACTTCCAACCGAAGCCCTCTCCTCTATCTGCATTTGTCCATCTATATTTGGCGACAAAACAAAAGGAAGCCCAGCCTAGGGGAAATTGTTATGGCCCATTGATGAGAGCTATTTTCCAGCAATTTCCTCGAATATTCATAAACAAAGGTCGGATGGCAGACAAACTAATCGAGTATAATCAATCGATAGTTATTGTTTTCGCTCATTCCCATCCACCCACATATTTTCGCTACAGTTTCCATGGAACATGTTCCGTGCACTCATCGGGGATAATAAAGAGCATGGAGGAAGGAACAACGAAATCCTTTCACGAATCGTTGGGCAATAAAAATTTGATAGAAATAAAATAAAGTCTCTTCTTGTCTCCGTTTTTTCGAGCATAAGGGAATTGAGGGGGAAGGGAGGAAGGCGGAGCGGGAGCGGGAGGGGGGCTTTTAGTGGGGGCGTCAATAAAATGGGGCCGAAAAATATTTGCACAGCGTTCGCTTTCTTTTTGCAGCTCTCTGTTTTATGTGCCATAAACAAAGGCCAAAATGGATTCAGTTCAGTGGAAAGCTCTGTTGTGCGGACACCCAGGGTTATGGCGTTTATATTATTACCCCACGATGCTTAGAGGAGAGTAAATACTGTCCGCCCAAGGGAGATACCCATCCTAAAAAAAGATGTTTATTTCCATCTGGTAATGGCGCCAAAGAAAGGCCCCAAGTTTAGCTCTACTTAGACTTTCCTTCCCCTAAAGAAGGGGGTCTAAAACTTAAATTTCAAAATAAGGAATGAAATCTTTAAGGGAGCCTCAGAGAGATGGACTTCACAACAGACAACTTCAACTGTATTATCCAGTAAACCTAGTTGAGATAGTTGAGAGATAACCATTTTGGTGGCCGTTCCAGATTTGGCAAACGTTCTTTTTTGGGAGCTCTTGCCTCCCGTAAATACAGTTCCACAGCAGCAGCAGAAAGGAGCGAGTGGGAAACCAGTTCTCCCAGCTGCACTCTACCAGAACGAACAGCATCAGTGGTGGTGGCAGCGGCAGTGGCAGCGGCAGCGGCAGCGCCAAAGAAGGGCCGTCAACAGGTAACCCAGTGCACCTTCAGACACAACGCTCTGCACCAGAAGTACCAGCCGACCCGACGTTGAAGTCAATGTATTTCCGTCAGCTGCCGTTGCCCTCAGACCGAGAGGAATTGTTGTTGTGCCTCTTCTTGTTTTGACGCCAATGGGAGAGTCGATGATCGGAGGGCTGGATTTTCGGCTCTGCAAAACTGGTTTAAGGAGTGCACATCTCCCCTCCCCTCCCTACCTCCCTCCCTCCCTGCCTGCCATCTTTTATCTGGATTTTTGTTGGTATTTTGTTTTTGGTATAGGAAATGGTTTTTCCAGCAGGACAAAGGAAATGCCACAGAAGAAGGCTCAGTGCCGAGTGCTCAGTGTGGAACTTGTGTTCTGATCCTAGGGTTGAAGAAAGGAAAACAATAATCGATGCTCGTAATTAATGGGAAACGTTCTTTCCGCTCTCTGGATCTGCGGGGCAGATTGATTACACGAAGCGGCACCACCACTCCCCTCACCGTAGTCTCACGGTCACGTCCAGCGAGTGGGCCATGTAATTGCCAATAATCACACAACAAAATTCAATTTAAATGAGTGAGAGAGAAGGAAAATCAAATTACAGGATGACCCAGCCCACGGACAAGAGGCGAGTGAGAGTGCGAGTGCTGACTATGCCTGTATGACACTCGCTTGCTTCACAAGAAAGCAGCTATAGCGCTCGACAAGCTGCAACAAGCAGTACATACGCATGCATGTATAGATCTAGCCTGTATGACACGATAATTCTTCTTCGAATAGTGTTGGAAGTTTGTGGGGACTTGTTGAACACTATGCGAAGAGTTTTGAGCGAGTGTCTTACGGCCTTAGGCTGCCATCCTGTGATGCACTCATTCTCTCTCTGTCTCTCTCTCGTTTTCTGGTGCGAGTGTGATACAGGCTTCATGAGATATGCCAAAGGTGACTTTCAATTGAAGGACCGAAGCCATACTCCTCCCTTCCCGTCCCTTCCCTTGTGTTTGATTATTGCCCAGTACTCTTTGATTTTTGTGTTTGATTTTGCTTTTGCTTACCTGCCGGGAAGAAATTGTTTAAGAATGTTGACATGTTTCTCTCTCGCGATTTGTGGCGTTCTCCTCTGAGCCGTCACCTGCGTCCAGGAAAGCAATTCTTGGCTTTTGCTTTTGTATTTATTTGGTCCTTCCGCTGCTGCTGCTTCTTTCTGTTCTTCTTCACTCCGCTGTCGCTTGTTATTGGTCCTTATGCTGCTTCTTTCTCCGCTGGTCTTCTTTTCTCACGCTGTTGTTGGTCCTTTTTTCTGCTTCCTCCTCTCCTATTATTCTTCAGTTCGTTTATATGTTTTTGTTTGTTTTTGTTATAAACTGCACTAGCTCAACGTTTTCTCAGTGTTTATTTTTCGTTTTCAGGATTATTTGTGTTAATTCTTCTTCTTTTTTACTTTTTTTTACTTAGTTTTGTATAAAATGAAACAAAAATTTTAAATAATACATACAATTCTCACTTAACTGCTAGAATTTCACATTACACAATTTCACATACTACGTTTCAATTTTATATTATACGTTTGTTTTATATTTGTCATCTTTTTCAATGTTTCATTCGTTTGTTTTAACAAAAATCATTTTAACGGCGTAAATTATTAAACATTGAAGCGCGTCGACTGGAAAGGAAAGACAAAGGTGGATTAAAGGGAAGGAAAAAAAACTTTTTTTAGTACTATTATGTATTATTACTGTAAACCAAACACAGTGCGCTGCTGTTTGCGTTTGCTCTGCGGACTGTTTGTTTTTGCAAAAAGGGCGACAAAACGAAATCCAAAAAAAGCAACAGCCAACAGCCAAGTGGGGGGCAACCTCTGTCTGACTTTGCTCTGCTTGGATTTCATTTAATTTGTGCTCGTGTGTTTGTGTGTACTGTCTGCTGTGTGTTTGCGTGACTCCAAATAAACAGGGACGCGTTTTCACACATATACAGACAAAATTGCGCGCATATTTGTTGTTTTTCTTCTTTCACTTTATCATTTATGTTTTCACACACGAACACTAGCGCACGTACGCACTCCCACACGCAAATCCATACATATATTTGACATTTGCAACTCCCCCTCTTCCGCAATTGAATATACTTTAGGCTGAACCTGCGCCAACATATTGCATGGCTGCAAAGAGAAGAGTGGGAGGAGGAAGTGGCATTAGATTAGCAACAAATTGAGCTCGTGTGTGTGTGTGTGTGTGTGTGTGCGCGTTTCTGTGAGTGGAGTGCATTTGAGTGTTCCCTCTGGGGATTAGGGATATTCTCCCCCCTCCTACTGAAGCTTACAGGCAATTATCGAACGGAGCAGTGAGGGGAGACAAACCGAACGGGAAAAGCGAACGGCGCGACTGGCGCCCCACGAAGGTACTGAAATGGCAGACGACGAAACCAAATGGTAGCCAGAAGCGGACCGAATGGAGTCCACACACAGAGCCTGTCTGTGTACGTGCGAGCAGAGCCCGAAGGATGATACAAACAACAACAATTACAGCTGTGTGCAACAGTGGAACGAATCGTGACATTGCGAGATGGTGGTGGAAATGTGTGTTGTGTGTGGTTGCTCCCACTGTACCATTGGAAAGGATATTTTGCAGGATATATGTATACACAAAAGAGAAGCCATAGCAATTGGCGTTGTTATACACACACACACGCACACACACATTCTCAAGAGAGTTCAACAGGACCCAACAGCTGGCACACACACAGACCAACAATAACAAGCAGACAACATCCACAAAGAGAAATGTCGGACCCCCAAATGGGATCCACTCCTGCCATATTTGTGGAACAGAAAACAGCTGGCTGCAAAACTTTTGATACGGCGCAGGGGGATATAGCGCCAGCGCTTTCTTTGCTAGTGCGTGTGTTTTTCCTTAGAGTGGGAACCAGCTGGCATTAATTTTGCACTGCCTCCCCTCCTTTTAGTGGACGGGAGTTCGGTCGGGCCACCCAACAAGTGCCACAGATACACAGCCGCTACAGGGGGGCGATAGAAGTAGGACCTCCACCAGCCGATCCGTTCGTAGTGCATTGATTAACGATTCAATTAATGGGAGTAACGAGGCGTGAAATAGACACCAGCACCAGCGCACTGCTACCGCAATTCTATAAGACGCAATAGGGCTCGCTCGGTATCAAGCCGAGGAAATAGCCAGAATCGAGCGCAGAACTTCTTCCAAATTTGTTGTTTTTCTCGTTCCCGGAGCCAGACGCAAACCACACAACACACGCACAAACACACTCACACACCGATGCCAACATGTCTGCTCGCAGTTTGGATGTTCCCTGCGGTAAGACTACGGAAAACCAGGTTCCACAAAATGTTAATACCCGGTTCGCTTATTGAAATCACTTATGTGCGTGCTTTGGTTATTTTTCTGCGTAAATTTTTCGGTTAAAAAAAAAAATTTAAAAAATTTTGTTACATTTCGTCGTATGCCGCATGCAGTGCAGTGTGACCGCGGACTTATCAATAAAATATACCGTCCGACCCTCAGAAATATACTGAAACATACCATCTCATTTAAAAAATATACCGTAAATATACTGACGAATTCAAGTTCTATTTTACATATTCCTCGTTTTTTATCTTCCGTGGAATATTCTCAGCTATATAGAATATTTAGCCATGCCCACCTACTTTTATACGATTAATAAACTGGCTCATTTTTATTACTTGCTTTTATTGGATTTTGCATAAAAAAAGGTTTTAGCGAAAAAGGTCAAACAAATGAAACGTAATAAAACGTAAGAGAAAAATCGTTCCAATTGTTCAATTTCTTTATTCCGTTGAAGAATGCTGCCTAACTAAAACCATTAGCTCTGCCCACATAACTTTAGGCCATTAATGAATCAATTTTCTAACTCATTGATAACTTTTAAGTACTCTATTTTATTGTATAGTGTATAAAACAAAGTTTAAGCAAAAAAGGTCAACAAAAAAACAGTGGCAACGTAAGTATGGAATGTAACGTAAGTGAGTATTAAACCCGGAGCTTGTGCACAGGTATACCCTATTTCGTTGATATATATGAAGAAACTGTTTTTCCAAGCTGTTTTAAAACGTAATTAATATAGAAATCTCAGATCTCAGATTTTTATGTTTTGGACATATTAATGCATATGATTAGGGTCTTGTAATTATATCTCGATTCCGATACCCATATTTGGTTTCAGTAAGAAGACCACAACCTTTAAAATATCGCTGAAATACCTAAAAAAAATAAACTGACTAGTTTTGGGCTTTATTTGTGCATTAGATGACAAACATTCTCTTAGTTATTTAATATCCATTTCCCAGGGTATGCAAAATGTTGCTCAATCCGCGCAATGTGTCTGGCCCATACAAATTAGTGCTGCCAGCTACATAAAACGTAAGAAAACGTAAGGTGGTATGGAATACGCCGTAAGGAACTTTTTTGAGCTGAAAAGGACATTGTATCCCGGAAAAATTCCCTTAATTTGAGACAATTTCACACTACAAAATAAAGAGTAAGTCCCAAAGAAAGGAGAGCAAGTACTAATAAAATAAACGGTCTCACTCTAAAAAAAACCGAAAATGTATCAATAAAAATTAATAACGGGGTCTTACACACTGGCGCTTCCTTGGTGTTTTTATGAAAAAAGGGCCAACCATTTTTTAAACGTACACATTTCCCCTCCAGGTGTCGCTTTCGATAATTACATAAGGATGTATAAAAATGTAGTTAATATATATCAACGGTGTAGTTAGCGTGTACAAAATTAGTTTAGTGGAAATCGTTGATGGCCGTTATCGCTTAAGCCTTATTTTATAAACAATCCAATAAACATGAGAGCTTAAAGTTAAGCAGTCTTGTAGGAAATCGATTTATCAATCGGATAAATAATAACCTTTGAGCTTAGGGGTCCTAGCTAGCTAGCAATAGTAAACCGAATATGGAAAACGGGGAATATGAGGAATTTCAATACAATTCATCAGAGTATTTACGGTTTACTTTGAAACTGTGACAATATAAATATATTTTTTATCGATATGTGCTCTCGCCTGCGACGAAAAAATGAGTCGTAATTTTAATGGGCTATAAAAATGGGTATGGAAAACAGGGGAAAACAGCAAACGCGAATGACAAGATTCGTACAAACCTCACCTCGCGAGTGAAGACAAAATACCTTGAAGAAAAAATCGACTTCTTGTCTTCATGGTATATTGGGCAAAAGAGGTGGATTTTACCTCGCCTTGGCTTGCATTTTCATCTGTTTATCTGTTGTCCACACCCTCTTTTTCCTCCCATCATGTAGAAAATGTGTAGTTACCGCGTAGTTGGCAGGCCTTACTTTTGTTTTTTTTTTCGAATCGCAAGCACAGACGACGATTTGTAACGGAACTGAGCTGAGTGGGAACAAAACAATTTAATGTACTAAATTGGTCCCCGTGTCCCCGGGAGAGCTGAGCTGCAAGAAATTGGGAAAAGCCAAGAAAGTTGTTGTGTGGTGCAATAGTGAAGTGCAGTTTGACACTGTTTGACTCGCACTAAGTGTGCGAGGTGTTTGTGTGTGCGTCAGAAAGAGAGCAAACGTCAATTTGGAAACCTGAGTGTGTGTGTTAGAGACATTTGATTTAGAACGAATCGAAAAAATAAAAAAAAATTTGTTTAAAAAGAAAGTAACAAAAAATAAGTAGAACCATGTCAAATGTGGAATCTTCGAGTTCCGCGGCCCAGCAGCCCCCCACATCCACTCTGCCAATGCTGGGGGACAATCAGGTGATGCAGGCCTCCACCTCGGCTAGCTCCACCTCGAACAGCAGCACCAGTAGCAGCAGTGGCAATGGCGGGGGCGGGGGCGGTGGCAACAACGTAGTGGGAGTGCCACTCGACACTCAGATCAGCGGTGAGCCGCCGTCCAAGAAACCATGTCTCGATGCAGCCTCCTCCAGTTCGGGGGGAGCTCTGTCAAGCGCTGCCGCGGCATCGGGAACACACGAGAAGCTGGCCTACCGCATCTCCACAGCCCTCTGCTGTGCCGTTTGCCTGGATTTGCCCAAAACGGCCATGTACCAGGTGAGTGCAGCGTGGAGGCCCGAATTCTTTTCTTTTTCCCCCAAAATTTTAGCTACAGAAAAACTACAACAAAGGGCCTGTTTTTTCTATCTGTGTGCGTGTGTGTGCGAGAGCTATAGTGTGTGTGTGTACCATTCTGTATACAAACAAATCGCCAGCTGTAAGAGGAAACCCACCCACTCCCTCCGTCGCCCCCAGAATGCACTACTCTCACAGCTGTGCTAGAGCGAGACCGACAGTACACTATGCTGCGTGTATTTATTTGCTCTCGTTCTCGCTTGCTGCTACGACTGTTACGTCGCCGCTGCCTTGCACTCGCCTTGAAAACAACAAACAGCAATGCCAGGCATCCGCTGCAACTGTTTCCCCCCACACACACGTTTTTGGTTATTTCTTACTGCTGCGCATATCAGAATTAAAGAGAGAGAGGGCCCCAATGTTCGCTTACGTAGCATACATACACACACATATCGCTCTCGCTCGCACTCTGTGTCTAATGCACTTTATTGCGTTTTAGAGACGGGCGACAGAACCTACCCCCGCCTGGCACTCATTTCCAATTCCGCGTTGCATTTGACACTCTGGGCCACTGTGGGCTGGCTCTGCTCCCCCTGCCACGACCCCACCCCGCTGACATTTGCGCAGTAACATTTACTGCAAAAGTTTTCTGTATTGCGTCACGAAGCCGAAATCAGAATAGGAATTGCTGCTGGCTTTCCCGTAGAATCTATGTATGATGTGGTGTTGCTTCGATTTGGCCTATTTTTAGCAGCAGCTGCCCCGCTACGACTCGGCCCCATCACCAAAATGGCTTGCAATGCTTTCAATTTGAATAAGTTTGCGTGTGTGTCTCTTTCAGCTTCCTCTCTTTCATTCCGCTTTTAAGGCCATTCTTTTTCATTCATGCGATAGCTTATTCTCTTCTGATTGATTAAATTATTTGTTCAAATATTGAGAATTTAGATTTTTTTTACGTAATGCGTGGTTGAATTCGCTCTCTTTCGTTCTCGTCAAAACCAGCCACACATGCATGCATATGTGGGTACATCCATACATACATATATACATACATGTGCCGTGAAATACGATAACTGCGTCATTGAAACGTCTTTACGGTGGGCTTCAACTGGCATACATGCATAAATGATTTTAATGAGTAAAATCTTCCGGTGAAAATGGTTTGGCAATGCTCGAAAGGGAATCTTTAAAATAGTATGCCAACAGGAAATGTGTCTGCGTTTTCAGGACCCCTTCCCACTGTATTGCCAAAACGTGACCAAGCCTACAAGCAAATGAATCATATCCCGTCCAAAGGTCTCTTGCCGCTTTGATTGGGGAGGAAGAACAACCCGCATAAGTCAGAAAATTAATTATTATCTGCCTGCCCTCTGAAGCTATAGAAAGTTGGACAGAAACCATCGTGACTTTCCTCTTTTGCATTTCTATATCTTTTGATTGACATTTGCTAGTATGTGTGGGCACTACTCGCATATACATGTACACAAAGTGTGTGCGTGTGTGCACGCTCTCTGTTATTGTTTTGCTTTAGCTGCGTTGTTTTGACACATTCGTTGTCCCTCTCTTGCACACCGCATGGGCTAAATCAGCTGTTCAGTCCCCGGGGAAAAGGTACTTGGATTCCTGGATTCGGATTCTGACAAACAACGCAATATTGAAAAGCTGGAAGGAAACGCTTTTAAGGAGACTGTTTCTTACGTGAAACAATCAGAATGCTGTTGCAGGTTGTTCTTTCTTTTGCTGTTAGATCTATAGACGTGTAATCTAGAATAAACCCGTTTTACCAGTTTGTCTGCCACATGTGCATGTGTGTTTTCTTAGGGTGTCCGACAGAGAGAGACAGAGAGAGGGAGAGGTAAAACATATACCTGTTAAAGAGAATGCTCGTACTAGTGTGTGTGATCTCTGCAGCATGTTTTCGTGCTACCTACATGCCTACCTACCCCGCTTTCTTCATCCACTTGCCCCCTTCCATCATTCTCGTGGCTTATTATCTACAAAAACATCATCAGCTGGGTTCTGTTGTGTCTGCATCGGTGAGAGAGAGTGAGAGAGCCCGAGCTAGAGAGCCAGATGCATGATAGAGTAAGCACGAAGCGGGGATAAAACGGGTCAAGATTCTTCTTTTGTGATTCTTCTTTTCAAAAAACAATCGAATCGGATCGTATTGAAGGCTGCTGGTGCTGCAGTTGCTCTAGGTCATAAATTAGCTCTCTCTGCGGACTTTTCGGAGTTCGTTCAACTTGCAGGCGACACTGACTCCGAAATTGCCATTCCCTTTCCAGATACATCTCTATATATCTATTTGTATACGTGTTTGTCTGTATTTGGGGATATAAACATACATATGTACATGAACAAACCAAACGAACAATCAAACAATCGAACAATGTTGCTTATCGCTTGAAAGTCTCTCTCCCTCTCTCTCTGTCTCTCGAATGGTCGCATATGTCGCCTCCTCTGACGGCGGATGATTCCTGAAATAGAAATTCCAAAATGAAAGAGGCCCGCATACCCCCAGACCGAAATAACTTACGAACCATACAGAAATAATGATATGAGGGCTGACAACGTGGTTCCTCCGACAACGGCGTCGTCCGGTCCCGTCCCGTCTCGTCCCGTTCCGTCCCTTATCTGAATATTCACCCAACAAACTAACCCAACAATATCCATCAATTTCTCCTCGAAAACCATTTTTCAATTCAATTCCAAAAGAAATACACATCAACTACAGATACAGAACTACACAGATACAGATACAGATACAGACACAGATACAGCGATTCCAGCTCCATTTAAGTGGCCCCTATTGGACCCAATACACACGAATAAAACGATAAAGAATTGTGACCTTTAATCAGGAATCTATTTTTATAATTTTTGACTAGACTTTAACACCCTCTAACTATCGCTGCTAATGATTAATCCTAGTTAAGTCGATCTCCTAACATTTGTAAGCAAAAGACAAAGAAAAGTAAACAAAAAAGAATGCAAAAAAGTAAAAGATTGTAAATGTAAATGCTAAGTACTTAGAACCAGACTCCATCGTAGTATTAAAGTAATACTCTAAAATGTATACAAAAAAATAAACAAAAACAAAAACAAAAAAAACGATAAAAATGGGAAAACCTCAAAAAAAAAACAAAGAAAAAACTGATTTCAATAAATTTGCAGAGGAAAGTGCAAACTGGAAAATGCAATATAAAACCAAATCAAACATAGCGTTTTTATTTCAATCGGAATCGGAATCTCGGAATGTCGGAATGAAACCCAACGAATGAAACACAAGACCAACGGGGTCTCTGTACTATATATATTCTCTCTCTATACCTCCTCCTTTCCCCCACCCTCCCCCAAAACAGATCACATTTATCTATCCGATCCACTCCATCCCATCCGACACAAAATGTCCATTATGTTCCATTACCCCCCTCCACACACACACACACACACACTCACTTCATCCCCACATAAAGGCCGTATTTTGACTAATAGCAAACTTTTCTTCTTTTTTCTTTAATTGCAGGTTAATTTTCATTCCACTTTTGCTTTAGTTTTTCAATCTACTCGTACATATATACATATATAGAAAGATATCCATATCCATACTCATATGCTACCAATCAAATGTCTTGATAAGAGATCCTGCTAACACCACAATCTTTCTCTCCTCTGATCTGTTCAATTGCAGTGCCAGATGGGCCACCTGATGTGCGCCGCTTGCTTCACTCACCTTCTGGCGGATGGACGGTATGAATGAACCCTGAACACACAACCATTGCTCTCCTCTCTTGCTGATCAAATTAAATCGTTCGCTTAACAATTTTACACATCCTTTCACCATTCTGCAGCCTACGCGATCAGATTGCCACGTGCCCCAATTGCCGCGTGGAGATATCAAAGAGCACTGCATCACGTAACCTGGCCGTAGAGAAGGCCGCCTCCGAGCTGCCCAGCGAGTGTCAGGTATGTATCACACGGGTTTCATCTCTCTCTCTCTCTCTGACTTTCGTATCGTCCACAGTTTTGCAACAAAGAATTCCCATATAAATCTCTCGAACGTCATGAACAGCACGAGTGTCAGGAGCGTCCCACTAAATGCAAATATCATCGCATTGGCTGCCAGTGGCGCGGCCCCTACCACGAGAGTGAGTGCCACCCAGTGTTTTATGGAAACCAAATAAAGCCTAACTCTGTAATCTTGTAATTCTGTAATTCTAACCAGCAACCGAGCACGAACGCAATTGCTCGCACCCCAAGAAGTCCGGCTACGAGGTGATGGCTGCCCTCGAAGCCCACGATCTGAAGATCAAAGAGGAGAAGAAGATGTTCAATACACTGATCGATTTGCTCAGCTACGAGAAGATCATCTTTAATGGTGAGAGGAAAAGACGGCGCTTTGGTCAGAGTCTGTATTTAATGATTGCTTTCCTGCAGATCTGCAAATGAAACCCTATCGCACTGACGAGTATGTACACAAGCTGTTCTATGAGACGGCCCGCTTTTCGGCCTTCAATCAGCAGTGGGTGGTGAAGGCGCGCATCAACAATAGCCAGCGCGATCCGCACCAGTCGAACGAGCGCACCATCACCTATCAGCTGATCCTGAAGACCAAGACCAGCACGCCCATGAGCATACATTTCTTTGCCCTCAAGGGCCCATTCTCCGACATGAAGGTGTCGACACAGATCTACAAGCACGAGTTTACAGAAACGGTGGGCTACTCTCTATAAAATGCATATTCTCAAATATTTTCAATGCTAAATCTTGAATTTCTCTTTTTATATGTATGTAGAACACTGAGAGTGATTATTATGTGCTGCCGCTGCCCGACGGCATTGGAGGCAGCGGTTCAAGCGAATGCAATCGTATGCTGGCCAACAAAGGCATCAATTTTCGGTAGGCACCCTTGCATATATTATACATCTGCACATAAATACATCTACTTATTCCATCTAATTCGTGTCTTGTTGCAGGCTGCTTATGTTTCTACTGAACAAGTAGAACAGCGACGATGAAAACGCGCAGAGAGAACCATATTCAAATTAGTCTAAGTTTGTTGTTTCAAAATTAATGTGCAAAAGCCTAGAAATAGTTGATATATATTTTCTTCTATTGTATATGTGTACACCCCAAGAACCCCATACTAATCCCAGCACACAAAAAACGACATATATTTGCAATCACGTCTAGAATCACACTGTAACGCGTTAGGTTGTAACCTAAATTAGTGAATAACTAAGATTAGGATCAATGTCCAGAAACAGCTTTCAAAATTTTTGTACATGAAAAGAGAGGCCACTTTTGGGGAATATCTGTTTTTTTTTGTTTTGTTTTGTTTGTGCAGGCGAAGAATCGATTGAATGATTGGTGTGTTTGTCTAGCGTTTAATGATCTCACAGTAAGGAGCCGGCACACCCGCTAATAAAACAATAACCATAACGTAGATGTAACACTGTAAGAAGAAACAAACAGAAGAAAACACCAACCTAAACAGATTTACGAGTATATAAACCATTCTTTGATGTAATTGTAGCTCTAGACATAGCCCCGAGACACTGTTCTGTTCCCCATTAGAGGTGGAACACCCAGACTACACTACACTACAAAACACAACACACATTCAATCTTTTCGAATTAAAATTGCGTTATGTTGACCGTCTACGTTTAAAAATTAATTGCTTACAACTTACATTCGTATGTGTAATATTTATATGCATTGTCGTTAATGATAAATGATAAAACTATACCTAATGCATATACATTAATGATAAATCTTAATTAATAAATAAATCGAAAGTGCAAAGCGATGTCTTTCCTCTGGGATCAGGCACTTTTGGTGGATACGTATTCCAGTCTATTCATTGTCTTCCTCCATCGTTCGGTACTTGTTGCGCACCAGAGATCCAATCACGCCACGGGGGTTCTCCTTGAAGTGCTTGTCCTTGACGAGCTTCTCAAAGGACTTGGCGCGGTTCACAATATCAGCGCGCTTCTTTTTAATCTTCTGCTTGACGCTTAGCGGCACCTCGGGCTCGGTGAGAGCCGTCTGCTCGGCGGCATCCTTCGACTTGCTCTTCACCAGCTTGTAGAGGTCCGAGAGCGAGGGCAGGGCATCGCGCAGAGGCTTCAGATCCCCAACGGCGGGTTTCTTCTTGCTAGACTGGACATTCTTGCGCTCCTTCCTTGAGTCGGCGAAGCGCTGCAGCAGTTTCTTGTGCTTGAGTGCTGATTTCTCCTTCTTTGTTGTTGTCTTCTTGGGCGTGAGGGTCTTGTGCAGCAGTCGCTCCTGGCGCTCCGACTTGTTCAGCTGCGCCTGCACATCCTGCGCCTTCTGCTTGGCCACGCCCACAGCTCCTTTAGCCTTGGCTCGTATATTTTTCTTGGTTTTAGCCATGATCGGTGAATTTTTACGGAATCAAAAATCAAAACAAATGAAACGTGCTTGTGGCTTCTAACAGTGTGACCGTATACACCGAATATAGATAACGATAACGATAGTTGGTATCGAAAAGCAGCTGATTTGGCGGCCGCATAATTTACAAACAATTTGTTGGATTGAATATTGAATTGGCCTATTTTAGCAAAATGGACTACGATTTTAAAATGAAAACGCAAATGGAGCGCACCAAGGTGGAGGACCTGTTCAATTACGAGGGCTGCAAGGTGGGCCGCGGCACCTACGGACACGTGTACAAGGCCAAGTGGAAGGAGACGAGGTGAAGAAGCGCTGTTCGGAGAAAGAATGCCAAACATTGAATATTGTTTCTCTTTTACAGCGATGGCAAGGAGTACGCACTCAAGCAAATCGACGGCACCGGTCTGTCCATGTCTGCGTGCCGAGAGATCGCCTTGCTGCGGGAGCTCAAGCACCAGAACGTGATTACCCTTATACGGGTATTCCTCTCGCACAATGACCGAAAAGTGTTCCTGCTCATCGACTATGCCGAGCACGATCTGTGGCACATCATCAAGTTCCACCGTGCGGCCAAGGCCACCAAAAAACAAGTGGTTGTGCCTCGGGGCATGGTCAAGAGCCTGCTGTACCAGATTCTGGATGGCATACACTATCTGCACAGCAACTGGGTGCTGCATCGTGATCTGAAACCAGCCAACATTCTGGTGATGGGCGACGGCAATGAGAGGGGTCGCGTTAAGATAGCCGACATGGGTTTTGCCCGGCTTTTCAATGCCCCCCTGAAGCCACTGGCCGACCTGGACCCCGTTGTGGTGACATTCTGGTATCGCGCCCCAGAGCTGCTGCTGGGTGCACGCCACTACACCAAGGCCATAGACATCTGGGCTATTGGGTGCATCTTTGCCGAGCTGCTGACATCCGAGCCTATTTTTCACTGCCGGCAGGAGGACATCAAGACCAGCAATCCATACCATCACGACCAGCTGGACCGCATTTTCAACGTGATGGGCTTTCCGCAGGACAAGGACTGGGAGGACATCAAGAAGATGCCCGAGCATCACACACTGACAAAAGACTTTAAGCGCTCCACCTACTCGACCTGTTCTCTGGCCAAGTACATGGAGCGGCACAAGATCAAGCCCGACAGCAAGGCTTTCCATCTACTGCAGAAGCTGCTGCTTATGGACCCCAACAAGCGCATCACCTCCGAGCAGGCCATGCAGGATCAGTATTTCCAGGAGGAGCCACTGCCGACGCAGGACGTTTTTGCGGGCTGCCCCATTCCGTATCCCAAGCGCGAGTTCCTCACCGACGACGACCAGGAGGACAAGTCGGACAACAAGCGACAACAACAGCAGCAGCAGCAGCAACAGCAACAGCAGCAACAACAGCAGCAGCAGCAGCAACAACAACAGCAACAGCAGCAGCAGCAGATGAATCCCAACGAGCCGAATGCCAAGCGTGTGCGTCTGTCCGGAGCCGGCAACCAGCAGGACTTCCACCACCAGCAACAGCAGCAACAGCAACAGCAGCAACAACAGCAGCAGATGATGTTCAACCAGCAACAGAATTTCCAGCAGCGCTTCAACTGAGTCACTGAGAGCACCGACAGACAGCATTTAACTACCACATCTACATATATTGACTAGCCGCTAAGTAATTTAATATCTTTAGTGTATAACAAATAGAGAGTAATGCCCAAAAGTAGAATAAGGATCACAGTCCACAAAATCTAGTACCATTCACTGAAGCGGTCTATGGCCCCGCACCACTTGTCCATGCGCTCAATAACCTTTTCGTAGACGTTGAGACGTGGCTCGAACACACGTTCCACCTTGCGAAAACACTTGAGATCTTCGAAATTTTTCCAGATGCCATGATTGATGCCCGCCATGAATGTGGCCCCCATGATGCTGGACTCGGTGTTTTCGTCACGCTCCACCTTCAGGCCGCTAAGATCAGCCAAGAACTGACAGACAAAGTCATTGCGAGAGACGCCGCCATTCACTCTGATGGAAGAAAAATGTATTCTTAGTGGAAGAAAATGCGAGCATAGAAGAAGGACATTACCTAATGACTTTGAGCTTTTGAGAGGTTTCTTTTTCGGTGGCATCGATCAGCTGGACCAGCCTAAAGACAATGCTCTCGAGCAAGGCCCGCACCATATGGGCCTTGGTAGTGGACGGAGTTAGACCTATAAAACCGCTGGCGGAGCGGTAATCGTTCACAGGAGGCTATAAAAGACGGCAAGAAGAGTATGTCTATGAGTTTGTCATTCTCGGGCTGTACTGCGCACTCACCCCCAGGCCACTGAAAGCGGGCATAAAGAACACACCGTTGGTATCCGGCACAGACTTCGCAATCAACGCCGTTTCGTCTGGCTTCTTGAACAGCTCGCAGGACTGTGCCCAGGTAACCACAGTGCCAAAGTCATGTGCAGCTCCCTCGATACAGTAGACGCCGCCTTGGCTTTTCGAATTGTTCTTCATTTGCCAGGCCACCAGAGGATACATTCCGCTGGTTGCCGCACGGCATTTGGAGCCCGTATTCAAATTAAGAAAGGCCCCGGTGCCCATGGTAACCTTCACGTCGTTCTTCTTAAAGCATTGAGAGCCCCACATGGACGCCGCCTGGTCACTGAGCGAGGCGGCAATGGGTATGCTGGTGTTGTCCCAGCCCGGCCCAAAGGCGGCTGGATGAACGTGTCCGAAGTCCTTGTAGCCGTTGTCCACCACGCGAGGCAGGATCTTTGTCTAGAATTGAAAGTCCATGAGTATTAAAACAATTTCGAAATTCCTTCAATCTCGCACTCACATCGAAGCCAAAGAGCCAGCTAATGAAGGGCGACCAGCTGAGCGTGAAGGGGTCGTACAGTCCAGTGGCTGTGCTCGAGGTTACATCGGTGATATGCTCGACATTTGTGTTCTTGCCGTTGCCAGAGCGCAGCTTATGGAGGATCCAAGAGTCTAGCAGCTCTACGCGAGCCTTGTTTTCGTGCAGGGCCTGCTTCAGGCGCTGGTTGTTGTTAATTTCATAGAGCAGTCGCGGCGTCACCTGGCCATTCATTAGTTTGAGCACACTTCCGGCCAAGAAGCGAGGTTGTCTGGTGACCAAATACAGGGCAAAGGAGACACTATTCATTGAGCGCTTGGTCCAGCTGCTGTTCCATTGATCCACCAGCTCGTGGGCCCGCAAATCCTTCCAGGTTATGAAATTGTGATAGTACTCCTCGGTCTCGTGGTTCCAGGTGAGGAATGTACAGCGCTGCGTCGAGATGGTCAGGCAGGTGATTTGCGCGGGCGTCAGCTTGGCATCTGCAACGGGCACCCGAGGAATTAGCACGCTGTGTGAGGGGAGAGCGGGGAGAAAAACACTTGCCGCGTATCGCCAGGGTTATCACATTCACAATCTTGCGCCACAAGCACTCTGGCTCAATTTCGAAAAAGCCCGGCTGCGGATTTAATAGTTCCACCTAACAACACACACAGAGAGCACATTTTCATTAAATCTTGCCAGCAGTTAACGAACGATCAATTAACTTACCTCATCAACCGCCGACCCCTTGACCAGGCACTTCTCGTCGAGCACAAAGCAACGGACACAAGTTGTGCCAACGTCCAGTGCGGCTATATAAGCCACTGCGGCAGGCGCCGGCGGGGTCGGGACTGGGGCCTCATCAGATATGGGGGTCGACATGTTTCTCTGTGAACACTCCATATTTTACTGAAATTCAGAAGCCGTTGCCGTCGCCCCAAGCTGGTTGATTGGCTTATCCATTTTGTTGTTATTGGGGAGTCTCATAGCTAGTCCGCGGGGGTTCAAGTTTTTCTTATCAAATGCCCGAGAGTTTGGTTTCATTTCCAGCTGATAACCAGTTGTGGAGCGAGTAGTGTTGGCAAATGCAAATTTGCAAATAAATGAAAAACTCTAGAATATAACAGCTAAATCGCAGCAGCTACAGGTAGACTCTCTCCATGCTCACTTATCCAAACACTTGAATTATCTTCTATTTTCATCATACTTCATACAAAAATAATTGCGTATGAGGAATTAAGACTGCAACAAAAAGCCACAGTGTCTGAAGAGCACCTCTGATCAGTGTTGATTAGCGCAGAAAAGCCCACTACTGGCGCAAAATAACAAGCTTTTGAAATCAATGAATGTCATTCTCAATCAATAAACACTATTTAGATAAGGGTCGCATCTTTGTAGAAGTGGATTATGATTGATATCATGTCTGGGCACACCTGATAAGCACTCTAAAATTGGAGCACTATCAGGTGGGGTCGCGAAGGTGTGCGCCGGCCACTATTACTCACGTGTGATGTGTCCGCTTGCCAATCTTTGCGAGTTTCGTTTTAGAACTTTATTTTCTGTACACATCGACACATGCATATACATAGATATAGATACGAATACAAGGTATATGGGGGTCTACTACTCATTCTATATACAATATAAATATGCGCATAGATAAACCTTTATCTAAAATAGTCGCTTGTACTAGTAGGTTGGGCAATAAAATAAAATCAACACTTGTTAAACACATCGATTTACACATAGACTACACAGGGTCAAAGCGCTCAGAAGCCTCCACCTCGCGACATTCGCCACCTCTCCGCCTTCTTTAGGTACTGGTGTCTTTCTCTTTAGAGATATGTATGTCTACAACTAAAATTTGAATCAAACGGATGGGATGGGACCATCCGGCTTACATGTCCGTTGGGAGAATGTCGGGTATCAGATATTGGCATAGATCCACATCATCGCTGACAAACTTCACCTTCTTGGCGGTGTTGTCGTCGAGCAGCACACGAATGGCCGGCCAAACGGTGGAGAAGAGTCCCGGCGAATTAAGGATCAAACAGACGCCAAGGCGCTCCGGGAAGTGCTTGCCCAGCAGCCAGATGAGGTTCTGCACCAGCTGGTAGTCCATGCACGATGTGCTGAACTCGGCCAGATCGAAGACGATGCACAGGCGGTCGGTGACCTCCTCGAAGCACTTCTTGCACGCCTCCTCCAGGTTGTACACAATGAAACGGGTCAGCTCATCGATGTCACGGGTGGAGGACCCATGGTTCTTGGCCGGAATGTAGATGACTGGACGGCCGATGCAGTCGCGGTGGCGCAGCAGACGGGCCTTGTTCTCCAGCTGGCTGCGGTCCATTTCGCCCAGTTTCTCCACGCCATATGTCTCACGCCACTTGTTCGTCTTCAGTATGGCCTGTGTGGGCAGTTAAAAAAAAATAAGCCGTCTGCCGGGGGTGGGCTCAGGTGACATCTTACCTGGAATGCGTCATCTGTGGTTTTGAATGCGCGCAAATAACGCCGAAGGGAGAAATCATTGTGGTATTGCTTGGGATCCGCTTCGACAATCAGTTTCATTCGCTCCTTAAGGTCCTTCAGGTCCTGCTCGTTTATTGGCGCCAGCTCCTCGGACGACATATTGAAACACTTGACGCTGCTTTTGCGGATAAAAACTGTATATCTTTGGTATTCAAGAGCCTCTCTCTTGGTATGGAATGTGCTGACACAGAACAACTGGCGGTTTTGTCACTTTTTTCCAACGAATTGTTTACAGGAGCTCACAAAATTTTATTCATTCGTTGGTGAGATGAGTGAACAAACTTAACCCGCTTAGCACCCCTCTATATAAGCAAGTGAACAGCTTGAGTTAAAACGCAAAAGTAATACTACTTATATATTCTTGTTCTAGATCTGTCATATACTTCCTCTTAACTTAAAAAAAACCACGATATCTTTTTCCTAAACTTTCATAATGTTCTTGCGTATTTAAACACCCCTCTGGTCTGGTCGCAATGGGTTAATCGTTCTCTGTCCATGATCAGAAATTATATTATATATATGTATGTAGGTAGCTGGGACCATCATCCCTGAACACATAATTTTCCCCGATTAATGAGTCATTATATTCGTTATCCGTTATATTGGATTGTTTACGAAACAAGCTTTAATCAAAAAAGGTCAAATACCATTTTCGATGAAAATCCCTCCACGAAGAGAGGATATCCCACCACGAAAAAGAGAGAAAAGTCGATTGCCCATTGCTGGAATAAAAACAGTTAGAGGGACGGTTATTTTTTAAATTGTATATACATGCTTGTAATTTTTGTTAATAACTGCCATAATGTTGAAAAATGTTAACAATATAGGTATTTTGTAGAAGCATGCCAACTACAAAATGGAAAAAAGAATGCACAACTTTCTTTCACTGGCTTTCGTTTCGTTTCGTCCGTCCAGCCCTAAGTACCAATAACAAATATTTGCTACATATACAAATGCAGAGATTCCTATAAAGAGATTATATTGCTCCTGTGACTGAAATTCATCCTGTCGTTCTTCACTTGGGCACCATCACACGCGCTATGCCCGGCAGAACCTCGGCCTGCAGCGGCCCAAATTCGACGCGTTCGCCATCGATTGTGATGATGCCATGATTGTCGTGTGGCTCCAGGCGGAAGGCCCGCACCGGCAACACCTTCACATACTCGTTGTTCACCTCGGGCAGGTGCGTGCCCGTGCTCATGTTGTACAGGAAGCTGAGGAGGTGGGGGCGACTGATGCCGCCGCGTATGAGAATCAGATAAATGGTGCCGTCGTTCATTTGGGCCTTGGGCGCAAAATAACAATCGATGCCCAGATGTGTCTGATAGACGGCGTGCATCATGATGAACTCCCCCTCCTCGACAAGCCATCCTTCGTCCTCCGGTAGCGGCTCGTCCAGCTCCGGCAGGCTGCTCGTCGGCCCAAAGTTCTGCTGGCGATTCTCCAGAGCAATTGCCGCCTGAACGGCAATGTCGCTCTCGTCCGCCAAACTATGATAGATGCTCTCCGATATGGAATAGTAATAGCTGCGCCGGGACCCGCCCGAAAGCCAGCTGTCACAGCGGGAGCGAAACGATTGATTGATAGACGTCTCCAGCGAGATAACATCCGCAAATTCATGCGGCAGGTACTCGGTGGAATGATGGAAGCTCGGGTTGTTGTTGGTTGTGTTGGACAGTTTGTCGATATGGGTGTTGCAGCTTCTACTGGTCTGCATCTTCAGCTGCGGAGTGTGTGAGGTATCCTCCTCCTGTTCCGACGGCTGCTGCTGCTCGGTGAGCAGGTAACTGATCTTGCCGTTGTAGGTGCGAAGATTCGCCAGGCGGTACAGGGTCCAGATGGTGAAGCGTTGATAGCCAAGCACACGAATGCGCTCGCTCTCAATGTCCACGTCCGAAATGAAGCCCCAGCCAATCGATAAGAAGGAGTACAGGGAACGACTCTGGAGCTGCACTCGGACCACATCCATCGGAGAGCTGCAGCCGCTGATGACGGTCAAGGCGGCCCCCAGCACTGGCTTGCTAAAGTATGGTTCGCTGAAGGAGACCCAGAATACAAATAACGTTTACCAGAGACTCTAAACCTTCTACTCACTTGTATCCATGGGCAATAGACCTGGCCAAGCCGTTGCCGGAACCGCACGGAATAATGCCGAGCGCTATGTTGGGCAGCACCTTTGCCCAGTCCTCGCGTTGCAGCAGTCCGTTGACTATCTCGTGGAACAATCCATCGCCGCCCACGGCAACAACGCAGCACCAGGCGTCCAGACAGCGGGTGCTCATAAATTCAATGGCAAAATTGGAATGCTTCGTTACGTACAGATCGTACGGCACCTCGGCCTCGTTCAGAACCGGCGTGACATGCATATTAAAAACTTCACGGGCATTTCCAGAGCCAGACTTTGGATTGAGCATGACCAAAACACGACGTCGCCGATCTTCCTCGTTCCGCACCACGAAGATGCTCTCCAACGTGCGGTGGAGCTGCCAGCGCAGAGCGCGGTACCAGCGATCCGCCTCGCGCATATTGTCCTCAAAGGTGTCAAAGGACCGGAAGCGCAGTGTGAGAACAGTGCGCTCCCTGTGGAACTCACTTCGCAGGCTCTTCTTCTTCAGGACATAGGCAAACACATAAAGGTAGGCGCTCACATCGCCGTCGTCGCAGGGATAATTCTCCTTGCTGGCCGTACTGCATTTGCTGGGCGTGGCCGCACTGCGATTGACCGAGGCTGCGGGGGAGTTGGGATTGCCGTTGCTGCAGGCGCACGCACTGGCTACGGCCAGGCGGCGGGTCTTCTTTAGACGCATGCAACGCGCCCCAACAATGTTGCATATTTTCACAGTCTGCTCCTTGAGTATAGTGCCGCTGGGCGATTCTCGCTGCAGTGTAAAGCCGTTGATGTCCAGCCGTACCCGAAACACGTACTTCCTCCCCTTTCGCTGGCTGGTGTAAAATGTGTCGCTAACATCGTGGTGGCGTTCGGGCAAAGCCCCAGCTGTGGGTGTAGAGCACGCTGTGCTGGTGCTGCTCTTCTCATAAGATTCGTTCATAGTTGCTTGAGATTCTGATGCCTTGCAGCATTTTAATTTTTCGTTTTTCGTTGTCTGTTCTTATTCTAAGCACTTAACCCACTTAGCCCCCCATTTATGTAAACAGATGTATAACTTGAGTTAAACAGGAAAAATAGTACTGTTAGTAAATTCTTCCTTTCTCATTACTTAAAAAAAAGACCACGATATCTTTCACCTGAAATGCGCTAAAATTCTTCAAGTTTCATCGTTTTCGTAGAGTGTATTTTAATACCCACTGGTCTAGAATGGGTTAATTGATCTCTGTCCATAATCGGAAATCGTTCTCGATTTTGATATTCGTTTGAATATCAACACGTCATTGATGGATCAAGTTTCTACAAGAGTAGCTAATTTTATCAGCTCTCTTTTATTGTACGGTTTATAAAGTAGAGTTAAAAAAAAAGGTCAACAACATTTTGCGATGAAAATTCTACCACTAAACAGTGAGAAAATCCCACAAAACAGCTATCGATACTATCGTCTGGATAGTAGAGTTTAGCGCCAAAGTTTGCAAGTGAATGAGTGACAAGTACATTAATGCAATGCAGTGGATTAAATGATGCAAGGGATGCTCAATTTGGGTGAGAAAATATTAAAAAAAATCGGCGTATAGTTTCTATACGATATGTTCTTTAATATACCTTAAAAGGAAGGAGCATGCAATGAGAGCGAGAGGAAAATAGAGCAGGGATTATCGATTGTTGCCATTTTCATGCGTGCTGGCTGGCTGTGTGTGCTTGAAAACATCAGTTTGTTATAAACAGTGCCTCATTTATTCGACTTATAGCCGGGAGATGTGTTTTTAAAGACGACTACGAACCGGCACACGAACAGTACATTTGTGTTTTGTCTATCATGCTATCTGTTTTCTATCATACAAATTTAGCAAAGCCAATGTCATAACAGCTAAAGCATCAAATATACTTTTGAATTGACTCCAAAGCCAAGTACGAAATTAAAAACTACGAATATATATCGGTATACGAATGTACGCCGTGCACATCGATATTTGCAGCTGCAGGACTGCCATCGTTAGTCCACTGTTAAGTTATGGACACTCTCTCTGTTAAATTCAATCAACTGTTAAAGTAAACGTGGTGAGGAAAAAGAGCGAGGAATTAATTTTGTGAATTTGTTGTGTGACACAAAATTGCAAAGTGAAGTTGGTGTTTTATGTAATAGACGTGCTCGTTTTTGTAACTGAGACGTCATGACTAACAGCCTGGAGTTGGAGGTACCGCTCAAGGTCGCGCGTCACCAAATCGAGCGCGTTGGCTTAGCCTATTTCAACGCACGCCGCAAAATCGCGCCAGGTGGTGTCGAGCGTAGCGAATCCGATGAGAAGTTGGAGGGCGTCGGCGAGGAAGTGGAAATAAGCTACCTCAAGTCCCTGGATCCCAAGGAATGGAAGGACCAAGACCACTACAGTGTCCTCGGTCTGGGCAAATTGAGGTAAGCCTCCCATCTTGGCCTGGCCTCTCTTTGTTTGTCTGGCTGTGTGTGTGTGTGTGTGTGTCTGTTGAGCACGTGTCTGACTGACGGAGTATGTGTTTGCGTCTTTTTCTTTTTGCAGATTCGAAGCCAGCGATGATGACATTCGTCGCGCCTACAGACGCATGGTGCTGCAGCACCATCCGGACAAGCGAAAAGCCAAGGGTGAGGTGGTGATCAACGACGAGGACTATTTCACGTGCATAACAAAGGCCTACGAGATATTGGGTTTGTTCTATAGTTAGCGGTTTCTATTTGTTTTCTAATTCATCCATTTATTTCCTTCGATCAGGCACTTCAAAGCCGCGACGCAGCTTTGATTCTGTGGATCCCGAATTCGACGACTCGCTACCCTCACAGACAGAAATCGACAATGACTATTTTGCTGTATTCAACAAAATGTTCAAGCTGAACGGACGCTGGAGCGAGAGGCCGCAGGTGCCAGACTTTGGCGAGGTGGACGCCAAACGCGAGGAGGTGGAGCGCTTCTATAACTTCTGGTATGACTTCAAATCGTGGCGTGAATTCAGCTACCTGGATGAAGAGGACAAGGAGAAGGGTCAGGATCGGGACGAGCGTCGCTGGATCGAGAAGGAGAACAAGGCGGCACGCATCAAGCGAAAAAAGGAGGAGATGAGTCGCATTCGAGATCTCGTCAATCTGGCCTACAACAACGACAAGCGTATACAGCGTTTCAAGCAGGAGGAGAAGGATCGCAAGGCGGCAGCCAAGCGGGCCAAAATGGATGCCGTCCAGGCTCAAAAGGCTGAGCAGGAGAAGGCCGTACGCGAGGCGGCCCTGGCCAAAGAGCGCGCCGACAAGGCCGAACAGAAGCGCATCGAGCAAATTCGTATTGAACGCGAGCAGCAGAAGAAGGTGCTCAAGAAGGAGCGGAAAACGCTCCGGGACAAGGTCAAGGATTGCAAATACTATGCCAAAAACGACAAGGATCAGCTGAAGCATATGGAGGGCACAGAGAAAATATGCGAAACGTTTAACCTGGCCGAGCTGCAGGCTCTGAACAAGGCCATGGAGTCGAAGGGTCGCGAATCATTTGTGGCTGCTCTTCAGACAGCCGAACAGAAAATCGCCGCCGAACTGGAGGAGATCAACCAGACACAGGCGAAGAAGTTGGCAACCGCCACCGCCGCTGCACCCAAAGCTGCTGGCGTCAAGGAGGTGAAAAAGGGCGAACTCTGGAGCAACGAAAATGTTCAGTTGCTCATCAAGGCGGTGAATCTGTTCCCGGCTGGCACTGCCCAGCGCTGGGACGTAATCGCAACGTTTATCAATCAGCACAGTGGATCGGGAGGGGCCCAGGTCCTGGCCAGAGATGTCCTCAACAAGGCGAAGGCCCTGCAGAACAGCGATCACTCCAAGAGCAGCCTCAAGACGCAGGCCAACGATGCCGCCTTTGCCAGCTTCGAGAAGTCCAAGAAGGAAGTGCAAGTCTCAAACGACATTACCATTGGCGAGGAGGCGCCCTCACAAGAGAGCAAGGAGAACGTCAAGCAGAATGGTGGTGCCCATCCCAATCAGGTGAACAATCAGAAGCCGAAGCAGAACGGCATATCGACACCAGCAGCTGCAGCAGCAGCCCCAGCAGCAGGAGCAGGAGCAGGAGCTGCGCCACCGGCAGCTCCCATGACCAATGGCACTGGCGGTGCAGGTGGTGCAGGTGGTGCATCCAAGACCTGGACCAAGGAGGAGCAGGCACTGCTAGAGCAGGCCATCAAATCGTACCCGACCACGACACCCGATCGCTGGGACCGCATTGCTGCGTGCATACCCAATCGCAGTAAAAAGGATTGCCTGCGACGTGTCAAGGAGCTTGTCGAGCTGGTCAACTCAAAGAAGGAGGCGCAGGCGGCTGTCAAATGAGAGCGAACCACCACACACTACACTACTCCTCTTCTAGCTGCTGTGTCCCATATAAATTTTATTTAAATAAAACATAAAAAGTTTTTGAACGTTTAGCGAAAAGTTACATCCAAAGATTCTCCTCCATTTGACTAGCTATTTCCCACAGGTGTATGCAAAGATATATGTACTCCTACTATACGTATTTGCCGACTGGATTGGGCCGGAAACCGATCTTATGTCTGCTCTGCTACGCTGCGTCCCCCACTCATTTTCAGATCAAACGCCTGCGGATTGGCCAGGGGATCCAGATCGGCGAAGAGGTCAAGCCACGGATTGTTGGTCGACTGCGATTTGCTAGCAGCTGCCGACGCCGTCGCCGGCGCTGGCCCACAGGCGGCTGGCTTAGCGGCTGTGGTGGTGGTAGTGGTAGGCATGGGCTTCTGCTGTTGCTGCTGCAGCTGCGGATTGAACATGCGTGCCCAGAACTTGCTATTGGTGCTGCTGGTTTGATTGGCATCGCCCATCAGGGGGGATTCCTGCTCCTGCACGGGAGCATCGATCAGCGGACTGTCCTCCTTCTCGAGCTGCTTGGCAAGTTCTATGAGCAGGGACTCATTGTCACCGCAGACGGGGGCTGGTTCCGCCTGGGACTTCTTTCCACTGGGCGGCTTCAACTCCGAGTCTGGCTTGTCCTGATATTCACTCTGGAAAGGCATACAAATTCAGCTGAATGTAGCCATAGGGCATTGGAAAACACACTCACAGCAAAGAACAGCGACTGATCCTTATCCACGGCTTCAATTGGTGGCACATCCTCGCTGGGGCCCTCATTTTGGGACAATTCCTTCAGAACACAAAAGTCGTACTTGGGCTTGGCAATTAGTGCATTGGATATCGTCTGGAATGTGGAGGCCGCCTTCTGGGCGAAACTCTTCAGCTCCGCCACGTAGGCGACCAAAGCATGCGAATACATATTGCAGCGGGCGGCGGCCAGCAAATCAATCTGGAAAAAAGAAAATTAGCTGAAGCCGTAAAGTTGCTGGCGCTTCCCTCTACCTTTTGGATGGAGTCCAAGGAGTAGCCATCGAAATTATGTTTGGCCACGCGCACATGAGCCTGGGCAGTGCGAAACTTGTCCAGGCCCTTGCCCGTGTCGGGGTCCAGCTCCTGGCTAGCCGACTTCATCCAGCACAGGGCAGCTCTGTACTCCGTTCGCTCTTTCTCCATGTTCTGCAGCGTGACCTCCGTGTCCTTGACGGCGCGACAGCGAAACACGTCCACCTCGTGCTGCAGTCGCAGCAATGGCACCCGCACACACATCCGCTGCTGTCCTGCAAAGGACATGGCCTTCGCTGTGTGGTTGATGCTGTTGCCCGTCGTCTTGCTTCGCTTGCCCGCCTCCTTGAGGAAGCGCCCAAAGACACACTCCTCCTGCGACAAGATGCACAGGCGCTCCTGGTACTGGTCGATTATCTTGCAGAGCTCCAGGCTGGTGTCCGATATTGATTTGAACACCTCAATCTTAGCGTCCAGCTCCGCGTCCGAGGAGATTATGTGCTTGTCTTCCTTGGAGCCCAGCTTGCGCTGGACCGCCTTCTTGGTGATCCAAAATTGGTGTTGCACCTCGGATTTTAGCATATTTTCGGGGGTGCTGCGTACGTTAAAAAAAAAGTGGAACAAGTGAATGGAAAAAACGAGTAAAGCAGCGACGTCGGCAGCGCTGCTCTCGGGTTGTGTATATATTTCTCAATTTTGATATTCGATCTGGAACTGCTAGCCAGCTACAGCCCTCAGGACGGAGCATATAGTTTTATCCGATAGACTAATCAATTTTCTGCAAGATTGGTTCATTTAGGTACTCCCCTTTATAAGATTGTTTATTAAATATAGGTAAAAAAAAAGTCTAAAAATTTCCATAAAACGGAATCATTTCTGCTACATGGCAACTACACAGGGATGAAACTTTCACAGAGCCACTGTGAAAAACTGCCGCGTATTCGACATACCTTCTGGTTACACTGGCTATTTGAATATGATTATGAAAAGCTTTTATAAAGTGTGTTAAAAGAGCAAATTAAGGTTTTCAGTTGGGTTCTTCGTAGGGAATTCTTATTTAAGAGAGCAAATGTGCGTGTTTCTAGTCTATTTTGGAAATGCGAGACAACACTTCATTAAATAGATGATTATTTTAAGGGAGAGAGAACTGACAGTTAGAATATTGGGAGAGCAAGAGAGAAACTGTTGTTGGTCACACTAGTTGTGGGATTTTTTAGTAAATTTTTGAACCGCGGGAACCGCTCTTCTGCATCCATTTCTCTCTTTCTCCCATTTCTCTCTCTGTTTTGGCGCTTGGCGCTGCGCTGCATTGCATTCAACGGAGATCCAGAATACGTTTCGTTTCATGCCGTTTCGCGTCTTCAACTTGTATTCTAGCCAAGACAAATATTTACGCAAGTGCTAAAGTCCGTGGTCGTCGCGTAGCGTTTTTTTGAAAGTGTGTGTGTTGGCCGTGTTTGTAAGCCGGTGGACAAGGGGGCTAAAGTTCGAGTGGAGTCCGAATCGAGTTGCAATCGCAATTGAAATTGCAATTGCAATTGAAAGCGACACATATTTTGCGGTTTTGCTAATTTGCTGGACAGGTATGTACAGATGTATGGTGTGTATGCGAGCGACTGTAAGCCGCACACAGATGCACGCAGAGTTACAGTTACTTTCAATCCATGGGATGCTGTGGACACTACGCTCCACACACATATGTACATACATATGTACGCAATGGTTGCAGCAGCAAGAAGAAAGTGAACAAGTGTGTGCAAAAGTTAGTTTTTCTTGCAGCCAAAAACGGGTTGCTGGCTGCTGCTGCCTGCCACCTGCAGAAGCCGGGGAATATGCGTGGGTGTGCGTGCGTCCGTGTGCGTGTGAGAGTGCCCCAGCAATATAAATTGATTGTGTGCCATGCCATGCCATGCCGGTGCCCCCAACTCCCGGTGCCACAAAGATAATGCCACTCTCCTTCCGTCTTTTAACACCAACGGCGCGTGACTGGAGGGGCTGGAGGGGCTAGGGGCACTTGGGGCAAGCCGCTCGCGCAATTAGATTCGGTTTCTGCGCGCCCCCCGCCTGCACAAATATACTCGTAAAGTCCCAAACAGAACTCGAATTGAAAGAAAGACAGAAAAAGGTCACGGCACTTGCTGGCCCAAGCTTTGATGGGGCGCACAGTCAAAAAAACAAAAAAAAAGAAGAAAAAAAGAAATAATAAAAGCTGCGGCTCTAAGGCCGGCTCGTTACCAGCTCTCGAAGCCCCCTTCAACGCCTTCAAAGCCGCGCTCCGCCTTGGGTAAACAATGCAACCGCATTCTGCCCCCGCCCCTGCCCCCAGCACTGCCCCCGCCCCTGCCCCAGCACTGCCCCTGCCTTATGGAAAACCTTACTGCTCGTCTATTTGTTATTGAAAAATGAAGATTTCACTGCAATTGCACTTGAATGCTGCTGCCTGCCTCCACTGTGACACACTTGTTCCAATGTGTGTGTGTGCGTGTGTGTGTGTGTCTCAGTCGTCGTCACTGAAATCAGACAGAGATCATCTTTATCTATATGCGAGTATGCCCTCTTTTCCCACTGCACTTATAACCCGCCCCGCACAGCGGCCTCAAAAGAGGCTTCCATTAACCCTAGAAGGGTATGTTTTTGCTCCCACTATTTTCCACTCTATCTATATTTTCTTAATAATTCGTTATTTTTAATATTTAGTTTTAATATTTATATTAGTTTTCAATAGTTTATATTTTAAACCCAGTTTAAAGATTCTTATGAAACACAATTTCCACTTAATTTTTGGTTAAATTTTTGTCATTTCTTAATATTTTTTGGTGTAAAATTAAAAAAAAAAACTCCAAAAACGTAAGTGCAAAAAAGATACAAAAGAAAGGATTTTCCCCAGGTTTTTTTATGCGTTTCAATAGAAATTTGTTGGCTCTATTTTTGATAAAAAAAAGTTGGGGTTCATCGAGTTTTAGTTTTTGGCAAAACTCTGCGAAACGGAGCGGAATATCTTAAGGAATTTAATTTATCTTCAAAGAGAATAAATATAGGTTTCTTTCGAGTATTTAAACAATAAATTATCTATGTAGGTTTTTTTTAAAGGGAATTAAGTACCGGTTGTATATATATATATTTTTCCCCAACAACTTCGACGATTGTTGGCCTCTAAAAGGTCAAGCCAACGACCCTCTTCTCGGGTTCTCCAGCGAAAAAGTCTTCATTAAGGATTGTTGATAATTCCTTGTAAAAGAAGGTAACATTTAAGCTGTGTTTTCATTGATTTGTGTCTTTTTTAAGACACGTTTCTTCCCCTGAAGACGTATGGCCCTAGATTTTTGATAGAGTCTGCAGTCCATCTAACTGCAGTTCTTGGGTAAAGGGAGTAAATTACATAGTCTTAGACCCGCAAAAGATCTGGAACTTGGAAGCACGACTCCTTTTTCATCCATGCAAACTTTTCTCGCTCTCCAATGACCGTTCCTTGGGCAGAACCCTGTGGCAGCTCGGAGGCAGGCACCGGTGGACACCCCGTACAGGCTGTACAGAATAAAAAAAGCGATAAAACACTATCAAAAGTTGTACGTTTCAGCTGCTTTGCATATTTTCTCACAGTTTCTCAGCAAAAAATGTGACAATTTTTACACAAACCTGCATACAAAAGGAAATACTCGTATTCGTATTCGTATTCGTAACTTTTGCCACTGTTGTTGCTGTTTTTGGTGTTGTTTTTCTTTGCAAAATTTGTATCGAGTTACTTTGGTTGCACTGCCGCTGCCGCTGCCGTTGCTGCCACTTGGCTGCTCTCATTTGCATGCCGAGACGTTGCTCTCGTTGCTGCGGATACCCTTTCCCCGGGGCAGGGTACCCGGACTATGGCCGGCACGCAGCTGGCTGCCCGTGCACTTGGGTCGTGTCTTGCCGGGGTCCTGAGTGGCCGTGAGGGTATCTCATGCTTCGGCTGGGGGGCGGGGGGCGTTGGGGGGCGGGGAGGGGCTATCTCTTCCCTGACTTGTTTCCTCACTGATTATTTCTTGTGTCGTTGCCGCTCGGCGTTGCTGCAACTAAATTGGCCTTAATTGGTTGCCTTTTTGTTGCCAATCTTTGTTGCTGTTGTTGCTGTTGTTGTTGCCCTGCTCTGACCATATTTCTGTTGTCTTTGTTGCCTGTTATCGGTCGTTGCCGGCCGGCCGGGCCACTTGTGGCATGCCAGCCACAGAGTGCCGCTTGTGGAGTGCCATGCCCTCTCTGTTCGAGGCGTAATTGCTATGTAATTTGATTCGACCAAAGGCAAAGATTTGACTAAAGGGAAAACCTGCAAAGGGAACTCATTCCCGGACGAAGAGGCGAATAGGCACCGCAGTGTAGCTTTGCTTTAAGAATAGATCTGTTTCTTGGAGGTCTTATAGAGCCCAAGATTCAGGTTGTTGAGAAAACAGACGGCTGCACCCTATGGATTGGAAGATGGAGAAGGGTTTCTATGGATGGAGAAGGACCTCCTCGGTGAGAAGGAAGAAGACGAATCCCTATGGATAGGAAGATGGAGAAGGACTCCTACGGATAGGGAGAAGATCCAAGGATCTCTACGGTTTGGAAGATGGAGAAGGATTCCTATGATTATTAAAATGGAGAGAGATGCCTACTGATAGGAAGACGATCCAAGGATCCGTACCGATTGAAAGATAGAGAAGGATCCCTATGGAAAGGAAGAAGATCCACTGATTCCTATGGATATAAAGATGGAGAGAGATGCCTACTGATAGGAAGAAGATCAGGAGATCCCATCATATATGATGATGAAGGATGCCCACAGATAGGAAGAAGATCAAGGTATCCCTACGGATAGGCAGATAGAGAAGGATCCTACGGATAAAGAACAGAGAGAAGGATCCGTACAGTTCGAAGAAGGAAGACGAATACCTACGAATAGAAAGAAGATCCGATCCAAGGATCCCTACGAATAGAAAGAAGATCAGGGGATCTCTACGGATAGGCAGATGGAAATGGATCTCTACGGATAGAAGTAGAAAGACGAATTCCTATGGATTCCTAAGACCAAATCCTATGGATACAAATGCAGACCCAAGGATTCCTAGCCTTTCCGCCCCCCCTTGGACACTTGTGCTTCCTACGGATGTGATTCCCCTGAGGTCCGCCTGCTGGCAGAGCATTCGCTGGTCGGCGTGTGGCCATAAATCCATGTGATTTCCCAATTTTTATTTACTTTGTCAGTGTCTGGTCGGCTGTGCCTTTTTGTGTGCATTTTTAATGCGCTTGGCCCGGCTTATTTGATTTAATTAGCCAACCAGCCAGGCAGCCAGCCAGCCAGGCAGCCAGTAAGCCACGGTTTCATTATTGTTTGCAAATTGTGGGAAAAAATGCATTTGGCTTTGCATTTCATAGTCGCCAAAAGGTAGGTATTTCTTGTATTTTTTGTACTTTTTGTACTTTTTGGTGTCTGAAATTATGCAATCGAAGCTCCAGTGGCTCTGGAACAGGCCAATAAATCAAAATGCCATTCTCAAGACTGCGATGCAAGTGCGGCATGCCACAGCAGCCGCCACAGCAGCCGCCACAACGGACAATGAGTGGGGGTGGGGGAGGGGTTGTGGGGGGTTTGGGGGGGCACAACAGTATTCAGAGCATGTCAATGTGGGCCTCTGGTAATGCTAGACCCCAGACCCACACACAACTTCCTTCATCCATGTCCGTGCCGGTGTCC